AACCACCGTACAGCTGTCTGAAAGTGCAGAATTGATCGCCGCCTTGCAGAACTCATTCAAGTATTGGTTGATGAAAGGGCCGGGAGATGAAAAAAAACCGACAACCTCCAAATCAGTTTTCTGTGATTGATTGGTCCTTCCTGGCATAATGTCATCAAGTGAATGACTCTCAAATGTGAGTGAGTCACCCATCTGCTGCAGCAGGCAGACAAAGGCCCACAGCATGAATAATTGAGAAAATAAACATGATTTGGGGGGAGCTGTGTTATCTAATGATTGGTGCTGAAGAATGGCTTTGGTGTTGTGTGACTGACGCACGCACCGCGCTAGACTCAAAAATGTAAACTTCATTAAGTGGGTTTCAGCCAATTTCTACAGATTACAAAGAAAACAACGGGAGCGCAGATCGATGAGATTCAGCAGAAGTGGACAGTCTTAAACACTGGCTTATTGGACTTGTCTTCTTATCTGTTCAGGGTGGGACAGGGTGGGTGTGGACGGAGCATTAACTGAGTTGTCAGTGGCTGAACCTTTTTAAATCAATGAAGCTAAATCTAAAATCGTGACTGGGGCCTTCAGAGAACCATTAATCGAGTCCGTCGGCTACAGTTATCAGAAGAAAACTTTTTGAAGTGGATTTTACAAAGTGCACACTGATCCAACAGTATATCCAGAAGACAGTGTTTTCAGATGGGTTTCTGATTTAATGCTAACCCTGTGCAACATGCTACATAACAACAGCACATGCTGCTTTTTTATGCAACATTTGGTAGATTAGAATGACCCCCACACCTCACCTCCAAGGACCAGAACTAATGGGTCCAGTATCTAAACTGACTCTGTATCGTCTCACACTATATTGTTTCCCAGCACAACACTTCAAACTTGGACACACTATATAGTATAATAGTGTGATGAACCAGTGTAAATCAGTATCCTTTGTTTCCCTCAGGCTTATTTTTATATAGCGTTATATAGCAGACCAACAGAACTCTCTGTTTTTGCTCCAATAGTCTGCGATCACGTAGTTTAACACATCTCCTGTGTTACAGTCTGTAGGAAAAGGAGAACTGGGATTGGACCACTGTTATAACTGTGGTACTTGTTCTAGTAAAGGACTCAAATTTGACTGATTTTAATCAAAGCCTTTCATTCAACTTGCGTGTTTGTGTTGACATGACTTACCCTGCACTCAAACAGCAGGCACCTGCCAGCGGAGTCACGCACGGCCTTCCGATCGCCCTCCACTAGCTCTCTCCCACCGAACAGGCAGACAGCTGGAAGACGAACAGATACAGTGTACACACATGAAGGCTCACTGCTCTTCTGATGGCTGTAGTTTCCTCGGAGGCAACATTGTCAAAAATCATGTTTTTGGCTGATATTTGAAACATCAAAATAAATAAATGATTTTAAGCATGTTCTTTATAAAAAAAAGATTTCTACTCAGTACGGCACTATCCAGCAACATAGTTCATTAATAATATAGCTCCAAACATGTCAATAAGCCATGGCTAATGCTGAAAACAAAATGCACTGCATCCAGTAAACAAGTACTCTATAAAGGCAAATACAAGCGAGCGAACAAGTTTGGCATTTTCTCCCTCAATATTCATCTGTTTCCTAAATACATTTTCTGATCAAAAACCCATTCATGATTTTATCAGCTTTTAATCAATGATTGCTAGACTCATTTAAAATGTTGTTTATTGTGTATGACGCAAAAATGTGTTTTAATCCTGGCGTAATTTAAGTCAAAGCAAGTCAAGCATGACAAAGCTATGTAAGCGGCGCCATTATCAGTGATCCCACTTAATTAACGAGCAAAGAGAGCTACGACTGTGGCGACTGTGTCTGACTGGTAGCAGGCTCAGGCAAATTTGTTTCAGATTTGCCCAAATTCTTCTCTCAGAGGTTAGATTTGATCAGGGATTAGATTAGATTAGATTAAACTACGTTGATCTTGTACAAACTGACAAACTGCCTTTTCATAAAGAAGGACTTCGTAAAAGAGAAGGACGTCTGACTCCATCATTTCATGGTCCATATGAGCAGCCAGCAGACTCCTCCCTCTCAGACCCCTTAATCTGAGATAAGGCCTCATTTGGAGCGAGAACCGAGTCTCGGCAGTAAAGCAACTCGCCTCACTCTCCTCCCCGAAGCCAAACACGCGTAATTAGCTGTGCGTGAATGTGTGAATACGGCGTGGAGATAAGTGAGCACAGGGGTGTTGAGTTTAAGGAGATTAGCCGCCGCGTGCTTCTATTTGTCTAACACAGCAGCTGGTTACTGAGTCGTACTGTAAGCCTGCGTGTTGCAGCTCTCACCCTCAGGTTAATGATGAGGATGCTAAACTCCAGCTGATGGGAATCCAGGACTTGTGGTTTATGGCTGATAACCAGTTGGAAATTCTCCATTATTTGCTCTACGACGGACGCAGGAGTATCGGCAGCAGCGTGTGGGAGTGAGTGTTGACAAAGTCACGTTAGCTGCGGAGTTAGCTGCGTAAGTTAGAGGTAAAATCATAAGCCGACATAAGAACGTTTGATTGTGTGCTGAGGAATCTTGAACAGAGCTCTGACAATCATGACTGCTCTATTTGGAAAAGTTAGAAAATTATCACATATTTTTTATTCCAGTAAGAATTTAGAATTCCTGAATAAATTAAAACAGAGTGAATAAATGAGTGAATAAATGCAACAATTACTGTTATTGTATTGAATACTTTGATTAAAACTCTAACTTACTCCAATAGTAAATCCATCAGATCCCATTAGGGTTCAAATCAGATATTATGATGAAACGATTGTCTAATACGGTCTCAAGTCATTTTCACTGGGATTAGAAGTGACAGAATATGAAATGCAGAGGGAGGTTAATAACAGTTCACTGTGGAACGTCCTCCGTGTGGACAGTGATGAAAGAGGATCATTTGACTGAGTGAGAACACATCCAGACTCACATGTTCCATATGGATATTCACTAAGATTCCGCCACCAGTTTGACCTCGTCCTCACTCCTCCAACAGTCATGTCTACCATCAAACTGAACCACTTCACTTCGCATGCAACAACTGCAGATTGAATGGCTGATGTCAGTGTGACTGATGGAGGGCCATCTGCACTCTGAAGCTCCGCGCTGAATAATTGATTGATGCATGCGTACGCGAGTGGACGGACACATCTCTGGAGGCACGTTAGCAGGTAGCTAAGCAACACGGCCGACTCCCGGTCAGTCGTCAGGTAGGAGGTGTGATCTGTGAGATCTAAAAGTAGCGTTGCTTGTTTGTGTTACAGCGCGTGGCCGTGTTTGCATCTGTTTTAGTGACCGTGTGTGTGTGTGTGTGGGAGGTTGAGGAGGACAAGGAGGTTGAGGGTACTCCACTTACGCTGACACTCCATGCAGCAAGAACCCTTCACGTAGGCAGGGGCTGTGGTGGCCGGGCACTGAGGAGGAGGGCAGGTGATGGCCTCACACTGAACTGTTCCGTTCTGACGGAGAGAAAAACAAATTATTTTAAAAAAAGATACTATATACTACACCAAACTGTTCTGGAGAAAAAATAGAATTTGATTATATTACTGCTCTTTTTCTAAGTGTGTGGAGAACAGTTGTGTAAATGATGTATGGGGAATGTATGTGTTAATATGTGTTATTTTGCATTTTCATCAAAGGACACAGGAAATATATAAATAAATACATGAATGCATTTGGAAACACATATGTATATATACACCTGAATACATGTATTATTATACAAATGGATTTATACATGTGAATATATGTACACTCCATATACACTGAATACATGTATACACCATATGTTGCATATATATGTATAAAGACATATATTATTTATATATAAATGTGCACGTTTCAATAGACTGTTACTGAATACTTTTGTTTCCTTAATCTTATCATGTGAAATATATTCTTCTATAGTATTTTATAGTTTTTTTTACCACTTTTTGTTCCAGTTTTTGTCTGTCTGTCTATTATATCCATTACATTTTTACTGTAACGAGTAGACATCCGGAGATATCTAAGGTATATTTTTCTTAAACATAACCCTGATAATTAACCATATGTAATTAATGGTCTTCCTTGTGTTGCCTTTCACATATTTTATTTAATGAATATTTGCTCTCCATTCAATCTGCCAAAAGGAGTTTTCCACTCAATCACAATATTAAATTATTATATTCCCACTCATCTCGTCATAGTATTTAAACAAATAAAGTGGAACGCGAGGTTTCACACGACACTTCGAGGGGTTTGAGGTTTAATCTCCGTCTGTAATTAACACTGCTGCCACGGATGAGAGCTGCTGTGACAGCAACATCCATGAACCATAGCCACGTAATTGATAACATCTTCATGCGCGACCTTTGAATTCTAAAGGTCATGTCTAATTGCCACACATAAGGAAAGGAACATATTCCCCTGTAATTACTTAATTGCAGTGGAGGAATGAAAACATAGTGTATGTGGTGATGGCAGTGATTTCACAGGAGGAGTGGGCGGAACAAATGGCTGATGATAATTATCATCTGCCAGGATCAATTATGTGCAGTGCACAGGGAGTTTTGAAATTACTTTTTTTTTTTTAAATGTTGGACAGTGGAGCGTGAAGCCACCTCACTAGTTGTTGATTGACTTCAGTAGAAGGACGTATGAATTCACATTCCAAAGTGACAGGGGGTTAAATTTGTATTTTGATGTGGTACAAAGGCCCTCGATCTCCACTCAGATTTAACGGAGAATTTAAGCAATGCAAAATAGGAAACAGAAATAACCATGAATTACTAAGCACTGTTCTGGACGAGGCTTGTACTCCAGGCCTTCTCTGGTGAAGGAGGGAAACCCTTGTATTATGCGAGCTGCCTACACACACACACAGATGGTTTTCACATATGATGAACAAGAGGAGTAAAACAGAACGATAAGGTTTGCAGTGGGAGCAGTGAGTTCTTGTAAATGTTAACAATCTCAGCAGCACACGAGCTGGAGAGTCATCAAAAAACATTGTTCTCCTAAATTGCCTACAAAAACATGCAGTCGAATTCAATAAAACAAATATAATATAAGATCACAGATTCATTTATGTCACTCTCAGCACTCTAGCGAAAAGCTAGCAGACAAACACAAGGATTAGCCAAACTAGCCTAGGATGAACACAAATTCACAATTAGTGAATAAATCAAGTTAATTAAGACAAATTGGTCAATATTAACACAAATTTTAGCAGAAAATAGTAAAATAATGTGAATTAAATCATAACTTGAGTAAATGAAAGATAGTCACAAACAGCAGTTCAACAGCAGTAACCTAAAATGTATCTCTTTAAGTTAGCCAAAGAGATATAAAAATAATATGAATTCAAATTGTAGGAAAATATTCAAAACAATACAAGAGATATATCTAATTTAAATAAAAAAAAAATCATGCTTTGTATTGAATTGGCTACATTGAGGTCAAATCCTTGTTTTGGATTCCATTAAATGTGTTTCACATTAACCTCAAAATACATTTTGTGGCCATTAGGATGTATTTAAAATTCACTTGTCTGAGCACTGTACACACGCGCTCACCGTGCACGTGCAGTTCCTGCAGCCATCTGTCCAGCCCTCGTCCTCCCTGTAGACAACCCCCTTAACGGTGCAGGTCCTCTCACAATAGCAGCCGTCCAGCCCATTCATCTTCTCCTCTGCCCTGGACAGCTGCTCGCGCCGGCACAACAGAAACAGAGAAACAAAAGGCGAAAAAGACATGAAGGCAGCAGGCCTCACTGTGTGTCTGTGTTAATGTGTGCAGAGCAGTGAGGCGAATACAGCCGTCCACCGTCGCACACACACACACACACACACACACTCACACACACTCCCTGTGTCTAAGAAATTGACAGCATTAAGTTATAAAATGTTCTTCATCCAAAAATATTTGTCTGTGATTAAAAATTAATTGATATTTATATCTATTTATTGAAAGAACTGTGGAAAAAAAAAGTTTTAAACAAAATAAATAAATATATTATTGGAACTGAAGACAGAATGACATGATTGGTTGTAATTCTTGACTATGTTTTCCAGAATTATTATGATATGAACGTGTGCACCAGGCCATGACAGTTGATCATTCACTATAATACCTTGCTGGACGTTTTAGCCAGGACGTCCTGCAGCTCCATGATCTTCTGCACAAGTCCATGGAAGTCATTGCAAGTTGGACAAGCTGAGACAAACAAGACAGGATTTAACATATAATTCATGTATAGTTAACTTAGATTAATCTAGAATAAAACATAATGTGTGTTTTATGCACATTAAATTTCTGTGATTTCTTTTCCCTAAATGTTTAGAGTATTCCAAGCTTGAGGCATTAGTTAGAGCCCATTTCCTCAAATGATGATTTTTTTATATTAGTAAAAGAAAAATCCCATTTCTGTAGTTTATTTTTCTTGCAAAATAACGGATGTTAAGTACAGGACTTCACTCACTTCTGTTCAGGTCGGGACACTGTGAGATGTAACCCTGCGGCATCACCACGATCTCCACGTCCTGCATCACTCCCTGGACACACAAAGAAACCACAGAAAACCTTTGAATTAGGGCAAAAAAGGAACATCCTACAGGAAACAAGCAGGGAATCAAACATGAGAGAGAGTTCATCTGGATACTGAATATTGTCAACGCTCCTGAAGAGTACATATCAAAACATTTGAATGCTTTAAAGCAGTGTTTCCCAAACTTTTTTTCTGGGGACCCATATTTAAAAAGTCACAAACCTTCGTGACCCAAGTCAATAGACATTAATCGTAAACTCCCAGGAAACATGATGCGAAACGACCCAAAAAAAAATCTCTTGCGACCCACCTGAGGGTTGCGACCCAGTCTTTGGGAAACAATGCTTAAAGGTATACCGTGTATAAAATGTCACCACAAAACCAGAACCACCGTCAATGAAACCTATGGTAACGGTGGTGAATAGAAAACAGAGACTTTATCAACATTCCCACAATACGGTGAACAACGGGACAAAAAAAAAAAAACTGGCATCATTTACCTCAGGATTTTTCAGGCTAGTCTTTCAATTCCAAAATACAGTAATTTCCCTTAGTTTTTTTCTATAAATATATATAATGTTGTGTCAGTCTGCAGTGATGCTGCCCTTTACTTCTATTTTCTTTTCTTTTTTTGCAGATATTCATGGTGTTTCTGGGTGGCAATGTTTGAACAAAGAAATACAAATAATATTGAACCAGTAAACTGAACTAATGGACCAGAGCACAGCCTACAGGAATAGAATAGAATAGAACAGTCATTATATGGGGGGTGCAACAAAAGGAAAGAGCGCCACATGCTGTTTGTTTGAATGTAGTGAAATTGCTGCATGCTCGTACCGTGACAGTGAGTCATCATGTCACCCTTTTAACAGTGTTTCCACTAATGCCTCATCACTCTCACATGTGTGGATGTGGTAAACTATAACGTGATAAGTGGGGCTTATCAAATATTCAACTTGGTGGACGGGGCTTTCTGCATCTATTAACCCTCATCCACAGTTCGTTCCTCCACAATTTCAACACCCGAGGACAAAGATGCTGTGAGACGTAGCTGCACTAAGAGGCAACGAATTGGGAAACTGGCATAACTGCGTCCGTTTTTCCACAAAAACATTTGCGCGGCTCTGACTGTCATGGCTTCACGGCTCCATTTCTGAGGACAGAATTGCAGCCACGTTTCCCAAACAGAGAGTGAAGAGTAAAACACAAAGTCAAGACGAGGGTTTGAATTTTGAGTCATGGCTCCTAACACTTGACCTTTTCTCCTGTGCCCACACGCGTGCGCGCCAACTGGTCGCCATGGTAACCCAGCCTATTTCATTTCTCAAGTGCATTTATTTCCCTTACAGAAGTGAAGCAGTGCAACTTAGGGGAAATTGTTTTTTAAATTGTCTTGCTACTTCAATTTAGCAACCATAAATTTCAAGTCCGGTGGAAGTAATGTGCTGATTGAAATGGAACAGAGCGGAGTGTTGTCTAACACGGCCACACTGACAACATAAATGTAAACATCTCTCTGCAGGCGTCCATACACCGACATACACTTCCTTATTGTGTTTTAGATTGTGCTACTGGATTTTCTATTTATGTTTCAGACCTTATTTTGAAGTGGAATTGTATAAACGCAGATGATATGATGGAGATTTTGATAAACTACTCAACTGACTGGTTGACAGTAAGTTTCTGTTAGACACAAAAAACCACCTGAGATTGTATACAGGTTTACTGTGTGTTTGTGACCACCTGAGATTGTATACAGGTTTACTTTGACTGTGTGTTTGTATCTCCTGGATTTTAAACTGCTGAACAGTTGACAGTTACACACGATATCAAATTCCAAATTCATTAAAGCAGAACTTGTGTTGCACTGTCCAAATATTTTATCATTACCACGACTGCAGCTTCTGTGCAGAGAAAAAACAGGAAGGACACTGAATTTTTCAAACAGACCACTCAGTGTCGGGGACTTCGTGTCTGTGTTATAAACACAGAGCCGTACGTGGGATGTGAATGTTTGTCCCATCTGCACAGGAAATACTAATTTACCAAACAAGCAGAAAATGATTCAGAGCATAAGCAGTTCAGCTGCAATTATTTTCGTACTTTACTTAAGGATGAATTGAATTATTTAAGATGGAATGGTCGCTGCAGTTGAAATTAACTAAAAACTAAAAAAAAGAAACATTTGAATAATAATAATAATAATAATAATAATTAAATAGAAATGACTGGACAGAAGTTCAAAATTTGTTTTTCATTATTTCAATAAACACTCGACTCAAATGTATTGAAGGAATAAAGAAGAATCCCACACAGGTGTAGGCTATCACACAGACGTAGTTGTGATTACGTTTCAGTGATTATTGCATTTAAACGTAGCGTAATTCCAGCTTTAAAAAGTAGTAGCAGCTGAGATCAAACTATTGTTGATATAATATAATATTAACCTGACAAACAATTGAGGTCAAGGGAAATGAGGAAGCAGACATTTCATATTTAATTAATTCCTTAGATATTTCACTACTAATGGTTGCTGTGAGAAACCCAGACTTCAGCGTAGGTTTTGTGGCAGAAATGCTGTGTGTATGTGCAGTAATAAAGCAGTGTTCAATCACGACGGGCAGAGATGCTGCCATGCGACAGGATTAGTCCATTAGACCTCCAAGGCTACTTTCATCTTCCAATTAACACAGAGTAAATCCACAGTAAGGACATGATGTATGTGGTACACAAACACAGACAATACCACAGAGCCAGGTAAGCAGCAGCAGACCATGAAACACACAAACACACACACACACACACACACACACACACAGAGCTCGGCTCTGGCTCACTAATTAAACTAGCTATAGCTGCCAGTGATGTGACATTTGCACTGAAACGTCTCCCCAGGTGCAGAACTCTGAAGTGTGGTCCAGTTTTGGAGCCGTAATATATGTTTCAGTGTCTAAAAAGCAATACTGTAGATGAGGTTTAATGAGTACAGTCCTCAGGCTTTTAATGATTTCTCCCAGATCAGTGTTGAGAGACTCGCAGAGATAATTGCACTGGGTTTGGTTGCACAGTGAGAGAAAAAAGGGAAGAAGCAATGACAATAGAATTGAAGTATCGAAAGACAAGCCTTTCATGTCAAATTCAAAGCTCAGATGGCATGGCATGCAATTAAGTAAAACAGCTATTATGAAAAAATTATAAAAATAAATACAACCAACAGATGTTGTGTTAAAATGCCAGAGTTTACAGTGTGTATTAATGCTGGGCATATAAGGAGCGGCCATGAGGCAGCGCTGACCTTAAAGAAGCCGTGGGCGGCGTTCCTCTGTCCGAGCCAAACGGAAGCGTCCTCAGGAATATTCATGTAAGGAACTTCCACCACACGCTCATAGATCCTGCAGTAACACAAAGCAGAAGGGTTTTTAATAATATGCGTTAATCTATCCACATTCCCATATGTAATTATTATACTATTGATATAATTATTATCCACTGCACTGTGGCAAAAATCTAAAAAAAAAAAAACTAAAACTATGCAATAACCCCACAGACCCTAAAGAGGGCCCTGCCCCCCACTTTGGAATCACTGTTATTGTTGACTCTTAATTTTTAGGTATAAACGTGAGTGAGATGGTTTGTTTGTCTCCCATATGTGGCGCTATGACGGACTGGAGAACTGCTCAGGGTGAACCCATCTTTGCCCAGTGTCTCACCCCCATCCTTCACTCTGGTTCTTGTTCTATCAAATCCAGCTAACAGCATGGGGTCTGCCACACTCGTGGCGTCGCCCTCTGCTTCTTTAATTGTGCCAGGGAACATTTGTGCGTGTAAACTGTTTCCCCTCGTCCGTGCAGCAGAGCCACAGTGGCTCCTCACGCTGCATTTGACCCAGGTTTTTCCAACAGAGACCACAGTCTGCAGCATCACACCTTTATATCCCTCACTACACCAGAACTGCATAGTCCTCAGACTAATTACTCAATTTTCATTTTCAGCCTTCAGACTAGATGAATGTTTTCTTGCTCATCTAAACAAGTTTTTCTTTCTGTCACATTTTCTCTACATAATTATTTCTCAGAAACCCCGGGAATATGCACGAACCGAGCACGAACACTGCAGAGTCTAGTCTCAATTCAAGTACGGCACAAAAGTGCTGCTTAATTCTTTATGAAATGCATGATCTAGAACAGGGGAACAAACTCCTGGCCCGGGGCCAAGTACAGTCCACGGGACCACAACATCTGGCCCGTGACTAGAAATCAACAAAAACTTTTTTGACCTAATTTAGTTGTTTTTTATTGAATTATAAAACGCTTCAAACACATAAACACACATACTTCACCAAGATTTTAGTATAGTCAGTTTAGTCACACTATGTAAATTCCTTTGTACAATTTAAACTGAATTTGAAGTCAAACGTATTTTCAAATGTTCCTTGTTATCAGGCAAATTCTTCTCCTTTTGTCAATATCTAACGCCTACATAATCCTGAGCACCGTCCAGGGACTCAGGTGTGTTACAGAGCCTCACGTAGCCCGGAGCTGTTAGCCTTAGGCAGGGTTTCTCACGTCGATCTAAATCCCTACACCGCTACACAAGTCCTGCTAGGGTTATAAAAGGAAAAAAATGTTATTTAAAAAAAAAGGATTTCATGTTTTATTGTGTGCACCAATTAAAGTAGTTCATGTTCACGCACAAGTCGGAAACAAATTCCAGCTTCTCACCTGTTGCAGTCCACATGTAAGATGACGTGCGAGGCGCTGATGGCCACGGAGACCTTGTGCCACTGATCGTCGGCCAGACTGTAGGGGAACACCTCCGTGTGGGCCTGCTGGCCTTTGGTGCGGTAGTGAAGACGCACCTCGCTGCGCTGACCGCTGCTCTCCAGCTCCAGGAACCTGCAGAGAAATGTACCAGCAACGTTTCAAAATAAATGTCACCTCTGATCAAACCATAACCAGCACGTGTCATTCAAGCGTCTAAATCCAAACACCATGTCAGGAGACGCGCATCGCTAATTTCCACATAATGCACTTTCACATGTGCGGCTTCCGTCCACCATTTAGAACTTAATCACCTCAGTTGTTGAACATAATGGCACTACATGGCTGTTAGGTGCAACATCAGCGGTGCAGCATAATTGCCCACATGTAGAGGTTTGACACTTTATATTGAGGTATTAGTATTCAAGAAGAATCTCCTCTCCCCACTCCACTGAGATTCACCCAGCATGGTGAGACTAATGGAGAGAGCTGCTTATACGCAATGACCACATTTGCATTTAAAGACGTACTTAAAATAGATGTTTGCATAAAAAAAAAAAAAAACAAGAAAATGATTTCACGTACTCATGCTTGTGGAGCAATGTGTAATGGATTCATCTTAAAAGTATATCTGATCACATGACTCTGCAATAATGTTCATACTGACTCCACTCCATGTCATACGGCGCCGCTTTGAAGGAAATGAACAGCTGAGGAGGCAAATCAGCGGAAGGCGGGGGTGGGGGGGGTGGGGAGTTGGTGGGAGGGTGGTTCATTAACATTCCTGTAAGGTCTCTTCTTGGTGCTGACGCTAATGTACAAACTATTCAATCAAAGCCTTCTGTGGAGTTCACATTTGGGTTTGTGATCATCCCACGGTTCAGCTACCAGTGAATAATGGAAAACATTAGCATGCTAACTGCGGAGTAGTGCGTCATCAGCTCTCAAACCACGATTACAGACTCGAGGCTTAAATCGCTGATGGACTGTGAATAATACACTGGAACGGAGGATGATTGGCTTTGTTTACTGCATGGCTGTGTAAAAGCATCTAAATGTTCATCAAACATAAACACTTGAGTTTTAATCACTGCTTCACAGACAAGGGATATGTAAACATGACAGAATTATACAGAATGTATATATAGAGAGAGAGAAGTTTCAGTTGTCGATAAAAAGACTCACTCAATTACAGTTTTGGAAATACAGGGATTGGAGTACTTTATACGGCATATGGTATAAAGCAGGGGTGTCAAACTCATTTCGGTTCAGGGCCCACATACAGCCTGATTAGATGTCAGGTGGGCCCGACTAGTACAATACAATACAAAAAAAACATCATGGACATGAAGTATTTGTGCATTTTTTTCATTTTCAAAATTCATCAAGCGGGCCGATTTTGGCTCACGGGCCGTATGTTTGACACCCCTGGTATAAGGTGTAACATTAGGGTTAGTCCGAAAGTTCTATGCAGATGTTAAAATTTCAATTTTTTTTAATTTTTAATAATTCAAACATGCGTTGAGAAACACCCCTTCAGGCGTCTCAGACAATCTGAAATCAATTATCGATATATTTTCTCATAATATATATTGTATCAAAAATAAACTCTTTCAAAATAAAAGCAAACATGATTCATTTTTAAAAAGAAAATGTTAACTTGGTTTTCATCTTCTTTTTCTTTTCCCAGAAGGAAAGTTTTAAAAGAACTCGACAGAAATCCCCCAGAATTCAACAGAGAACAAACAAACATACTGCAGCTCGCAGAAGGATTAAATGAAGTTATGTAGAGAAATATCCTTCTTGTCTCGTTGTTGTTGTTTTTTTTAATAAAGTTTTTTGATTTGCTTTGGAACTAAAAAAAATATGTATACCTCTGTTCAGAATGATGAATAGAGAGGATGACCCCGGAGTTGAGGTGCTCTTGTTTGACGGTCACCAGAACAGTAAACTCGCTCTTGCCTCTCAGTTTGTGGACCATTTGCTTTGAGAGCTCAGCAGGAGCCTTGACTTCCCTGGAGGATCCTGAACAGAAACAAAAAACAGAGGTGTTACTCACAACACAACACAACACAACAAGGTGATTTTGTCGCAACTATTAAGAGACTAAAAAATTAAATCAATGTAGTGTGAAGACTTTGAAATCTTCAGTTTCAAATAGACAAAATAAACTATAACTAATGTCAGCCAATATCTAAACATTTAAAAATGATAAATAAAAACTAAGATAAATTCTATATATAATAAAGTTCTTATAAAGGTCTTATACTTAAATGTAAGTTTTTTTTTCTCAATAACAACACTGAGTATCTTTAATAATGACTGAGTCTTTATACACATCACAGCAAACGTCTTGACGTTAAAATACTGCATTGTGAAAAAGAAATATGCTGCAGGCATACGTGGAAACATGTCACTGAACCAAGACCATTTGCTCAACAAAATCACCAGACACGTGTTTGCCGTTTTACATCTCACACGCCATAAATATTTGATATTCTGTCTCTATACACACTTATTAAAATATAATGTTGAAGCCAGAAAACATAAAAAAATACTTCCAACCAGAAAACACATTTTTCACAGGGCTGGGATGAAATAAATTATAATTAAGTAAATTAAGTAAGTTACCCAAAACACCTGGAAATAATTATTTGACAGTTTGTCAGATGAAAGTGATGGGGAAAAAAATGGAATAAGTGGTGCCAGGCTGAGATCAGGTCACCTGAGAAAGTTTAAAGTGACAGATCTGAGTCTTCGATGGAGGAACTGCTTAGATGAGTTCATCGTACCACCTGCTGTCTCATTCTGCTTCAGTGCAGAGCTCAAACAATGAATGTGGAATTTGGGGAGTGGAACTGTAATACTAATGGAGCTGGTCTCCACGTAGACGTCCACGCTACTTTAATGGAAGCATCAATAAGTGATAACGTTTCTCAGAAGCAATCACATCAAAGACCTCACTTCCAGCTTTGGTGTGCATGCAGGACACGCCGGCACATTTAAACGCTCTGGGAAGCTCACGTCACGGCTGTGTCTCATCAAAGTATTAACATTACTTCCAGCTGGTAGAAGAAGCCAATTAACACAATCCAACGTGAAGCAGTAAAAAAACACAAACCAACAAACCACAGTAAAGCCTAATGTTTCCTTTACCAACATACGCACGACACGATGTGATGTTAAAAGCCGGAGCCTACGCTCTCATATTTTTCTTTCAGTAAGCACTAGATGTGCTGGGATTAGCTCTTTTTCCTGATACAGGCTTTTAACTCCAGGAGGAATACACTGTGAGTCATTTCTGTACAAACCAAAAACGCCCGCTGGATTTGTTCCTCAGCAAAACAGAGGCACCGAGCGTGATGTCATGCATTTTGCATCGCCAGCAAAGTATCACTGCCGGTCATTGACTGAGGTGGGACAGATGGTCCGACCACTGCCACGAGAGTCGTGCCTTTTATTCATCCGCAGCCATCAACCCCTCACCATATAATAACTGAACCCAAACGACCGCTGTTGACCATAAATACCCAAATAATTATACATTCTGCCTCCGGAATCGCAAATGAAGTCATGTCACTCTGCCTCGGAGAGATTTTTTTACTGTTATTATTTTATGAACAAATGCTCGTGCATTTTGACATTTTCTACTGATGGAGCCAAAACTGGTTCATTTTTTTTAAAACAAAAGCGGCGAGCGTGCTACGTGTTGAACAGAGACAACGCTGACATTTCAATCACGGGCCAAACGAGCGCAGTGGGAGCAGGTGTCAGGGCAGGGTCCACACTGAGGGAGGGTGGGGGGGGATGGTAGGCCATAAAGAACCACTACCAATGGGCTGCTTCACCATTGGGCAGCTAGGATGTTTGATCTGTAAGTGGACGACTCTCATCACACCTCTTTATACGGTGAGGGGAAGGGGGCGGCTCTGAAGAAGACCGTGTTGGAGGACACAACACTCTTTAAAGAATCCTCAACCTAAATTTTGACAGCCGCAGCAGCTAATGCCTCTGTGGGGCTGGAAACAGACATGAAAGAGCGCTGCTCTGGTTTTGATGAGGGGCCCAGCTTTACACCCTGCCAAATTAATGTGGCCCCGCTGAGAATGTCTTTGGTCGATTATCTATTGGCAGGCGCCTGCATGGGGCAGCCACCTGCTCCTAACAACCGTTCTGACGAGAGAAATTGACACAAAATGGCCTTAAAATAACGACGTGGCCATACATTACTAATCAGGACAGCACGGCGAAGCGTCTCTTGTTGTTTGTCCGTCGGAGAAGTGTGTGTACAAGGTTTTGTAAGCTGACTGCATATCCCAAAAAGCCTGGGGCTAAACAACATCCCCAGGAAGTGCAGCTCTGGGACGCAAACTAATTTTATCTCCTGGGCACCGTGTGTTTTAATGGTTGCACTCAGACAGCTCTGCCAACCCTTAGTTTCACTTTGAATCTGAAACCGTCCAGTAAGATCGCAGTTTATCTGACCCCTTAGGAAACACACATTTAACAGTATCTTTACACTGTCTTCAATGCTTACTGATGTACCTACACGGTCAGTACTGCACAGGTCAGATTCTCACACATTAGGTATTTAGAGCAGGTACACAGCAGATTCACAGCATAGGAACCTTGATAGACCCCGGCTCTGACAAAATCCTTTCTCTTATTCAATCCCAATCCACACAATAGATTGTGGTCTTGAAAATATGTAGTCTCACCTCTGCAATCCCACATCTCTTATAGTAGTGTATGTTACTAATGAAGACTTTTATACAAAGGTGTTTTTTGCCTAAGGAATTTAAAAAAAAATTCCACAGATAAAACAAAACAACAAAAACAAAATCACCTCCTACGTCTTCCAACAAATCTTCAATAACAATGTGCAATTAACTTTGTGATGTTACTGCAACTCTGTGATCAAATCAGCAGAGGAAGGAGAAAAAAAAATTAAAGAAGAGTGTGAAAATGTTTTTGTTACATAATGATTCCCCTCAGATAAAATACTGAATGTTTTAGCTGTTGGCCTGAGCATCTAGAAACATGTGTGGGAGGTTTACGTCTGTGGTTTGGATATATTTTCCATCATGCTCATAAAATGGATTTGTCCACAGTCAAGTGATATAAAGACATAACATTAAGACAGCTAAATATTGCAATAACTTTCTTTTACGATGAATAGAATTTGCCATGAAAATAAATACACGTATGTCTCAGTTGTTAATTAATTTAGAATTTAATAAAGATTTTAGTCAAAATTTAAAAAAAGGATGAGCATCTTTTACCGCCCCCTTCAGTCAGGTTTTTGAGAACAACAGCATTAGGACATTATTTCTAATGAATTTGATTGGTTAACAACAGATAGAAACAGAGCAATAGACTCGAAGCGATAACCTACTGGAGACCGACACCGAACACACAGTGCACAATTTTTTTGCCTATGCAGACAAAAACATGCAAATAGTTTGCATACTAAATAGAGCAACAGCCATTGTGCTGCAGCAGAGTTACCGGATGTGGAGAACCAATGTGCTTTTGCTAATGTAGTCGGTATATAATACTGTATATACACTGTAAGAGTTTATCATCTCAATCTTAACTAAACACTTCCATTTAGAGGAAAACGGCAGATAACGCACAATGATAGATTTTCCACTGTACGGAGCTATATTTCATTCAAATACTACCACTTTGTACTCAGTGTAAGTAGTACAAATAGCACTGGGGACAAACCTGGCTCAACATTTGAATCAAGCAGGGTTTTCAATTGCATACTTAGCACCATCTATAGGTCAGCAAAGCTGGGGTACATGTTTAATGTTGACAAAAACAAAATGCTATAGTACTAGAGTGACAGCAGACAATAACAATGAGGTTACTGAGACAGTGAGATGTCTTGTATAACCTGTATTTTCCTGAATATTTTATCATCTACATTCTAAACAATTCAATTTGGGAGAAAATGGCAGATAAAGCACAATGACAACTGGTCTGTCCAAACAGAAGACTAGTTTTCTGACAATAATATTGTGTTTGTATTTGTCTCCTGTTGCTGTCTTAACCTTACTTTTCCTCTAAATAGGATCATAAAGTAATTGGAAATTATTTTATTTCTTTAACGAGAGTTAGTTTTAACAAAATTACTCCTTTGATAGTACATCCTTTATGACTGGATGACTTCAATATTTTATTGAGAAGGCACAGCTACACATAAACAGGCCTCAACACAAATGTTTACGACAGCTTCAACAAATACTAACTAAAAAAAAAAGCCGAGCAGAGACATGAAAAATATAGGTATGCACAAACACCGGGGAAGAAGGGAGAGCTATAGGGGAGTGATAAATAATGACCCCTGTCATTAAAGCTTCTCAATATATTCCACCAGACTCAGTCAATCTGCATTCAACCCCCATCTGCCCCCACTGTGTCTTCACTCTCCTGGAACAAATACTAAACTGAGCCAAGGGCACCTCCAGGACTGCAGTGACCAGCAGTTTCCCCCCAATCTTCAGATCGTCTCCTCGGTGACTGGCCGCCTGTCATTCACAAACATACACAGGGCTAATGACAGCCTTCCAGCCAACCGACTGCAGAACTGCCCTGGAGGGACAGAAATATCTCTCTCTCCCCACGGTCACCAGCGCTCCTCTGTGAAACATACGTAGGATTAGGTACGCCTCAGAAGTCAGGAGGCTGAACAGACTTTGACCACAGGGAGTTGGAGATGAGGTCAGCCAAGATTTTGGATTTGGATTTAAATTTGGATTGTTGTAGCTTCCTTGGGTATCAAAGGGAAAAACATTACACTCCATTGCACAGAGGAATGGTTTCGTTTAGAATATTCCAATCAATAATTCCATAGCCTTTAAGCGATATGTAAATGACGTATAGAAGTCTGAGAGAAAACAACACTTCAGTGCCTTATCTTGGCTTGGTAAAACCGCAGTACAAAGAATAGCCTTAAAAATTAATCCATACAAAAAATGAATTCCCCTCAGGCATTTTCCCAGGATCACAGAAAGTGTTAGGTCCTCTCTGTGTTTTTAACCTCTCTTCTTTGTGGTGCAAGTAAATTGGAGGTTATCTAGATAAAATAATTACAGTTCATAAAGACCCAGTAGGTGGCAGTAATACAAAATAAAATCTACTACTAGGGCCCAAATAAAAAGCCAGCCTGGTTGTTTTGGTAGTCTCATCTTAGCCTTAGCATTTGGTTCTGACTGAATTATACAGAATTAACCTCAATTAACCTCACAACAGCCTGTTAGCATGACACTGTGAACAACATCAGCCAATCATATCATACAAATCCAATTCTGATTGGCATAAATAAGACAATAAAACCAAGTTAATGATACTGTTCTCTGTGTGCAACTCGGTTTAAGAACCTATTTTTTAGTTTCATTCCTGGTTTGATTCGTTTGATTTTTCAACAGATTTTCAATTAATTCATTCCCAGCCCAGACATTTTATTTTTCCAAGCGATACAACAAAATTTATATTATCCAGCCCAGACATTTTATTTTTCCAAGCTATACAACAAAATTTATATTATTGTATGTCTGTCAGCATCCAAGTTTGTCAGCAACCAAGCACAACGGATCCATGAATTTCAACAACAACGACATAAAAAATCAATAGATTGTATGGTGAATTAAATATCTAGTTACTAATAGTTCACTTGTTTATATTAACCAGTAAGAATATTTCACCTTTCTCTGTTCAGGTTATATTTGTGATGTATTTACAGCGTGGAACATCAGCTGCACCAGGAGAGAACCATAAATAACATAAAGTAGAGGCTGTGATGTAAAGAACCTTGAGCAGGTTTGAAATCAGTGTTGCTCTAACCTCTTTTGTCAGTGTTAATTCACTTATTGATCGGCCCAGTGGTAAAGTTCCATTTTCTTGTCCCGGGGTGTTATCAGCAGAAGTGTACTCTCTGAACATGCTTGATGAAAATCGAGAAAAACTGCTCAGCTACACAACAGCCTGAAAGACCAACCTGCCGACACATTCTCAGCACATTCCCTCTGCTGCGGCGGAGTATTTCATCATATCATAGTAACGAAAAACTGGGAAGTGTGTCTCCTCCACTGTCAACACACTGTTTCTATTCCTGTTCAAACACTTGTTTGGAGACACGTGAAGGGAGAAGACCTCATTTTCACACATGGTCCCACAGACGTCTGTCCCCGTTCCCCGTTCTACCTCACACACAAACACACAAAAAGGCTGCGGAACAACTGAGTCACCTTTGTCCTTTTTTTTTTTTCACCACAGCGGTGCTGCAGTCAGGGGTATAAAGTAATCACCTCAACACGGTTTTGTTCAAACGTGGCATCGGGAAGAGGCTTCAGAGACAAACGGGATTCACGCACACACACAAAGATGGGGGGGGGGGGGGGGGGTCTTGGGCAGCAGCAAAAAGAACACTCCCAGCAATGGTGCTGTTTGCAGTAAGAAGGAGTTTGGTCTGTATGCCTGTTGTCAGGGAGCAACAGAGAGAGGGTGTGTGAGTAGGGGGGAGGGAAGGGAGTGTTTCTGGGTGTGGCCGCCGTGCAGAGACAGATAGATGGATGTACTAATGTGTAGATATTAAAAAAGGGGGGAGGGAGCGCTAATGATGAAGTGATGTTGCAGGGCCACTGAGGTTCACTTGTCATCCGGATATGAGTAAAGCGCCGCCCGCGGGCTCTTCTCCATCTCCAGCTCCTCTAACCCTGAGGTTCACCTCTTCTAATAATATGCGCTTCACAGCTTCCCTCAAAACAATCAGCTGAGACGCGCTCAACAACCGATCCATCTCACGTCTCGCTGTTCCTCCACGCCTCTACAGATATTATACACAGCATGGTAAACACAGCATCTGTTTACCCACGCCTGTGCTCCTATACTCATACCTCCGGTGTGAGATACACTCTGCTCCTACAGCTCTCAGCAGCTACACCACTTCTGCTCCTGCTCCTGCCTCCACCCTGCACCCACAGATAACAGCCGTCGCTTCAGGCAGCCAGGCAGAGCTGGAAACAGCCATGGATATGTTCTGCCTGCTATCTAATGAGCATCGGAATGTCACTGTGGGCCTGTCTGCTGGTGCCGGCCAGCCGAGCATCCACACATGCGGAATCAGTACAGTCTATCAAGCAGCTGGTAGACAGCTCTGCTCCCCGCGTCTCTGCCTCTCTCTCTCTCCTGCCATGTTAGTTTTTTTTTATTATTATTATTATTTCTGTCTCTCTGCAGCTCTTCACTAGCATGTGCGCTTCCACCAAGCTACGCCTCATCACAAACAAGCACAGGGCCCAGACTGCTTTGCTCTCACAGCCCTTCCCTGCCTCCACCCCGACATCACTGACTTAACACAGACATCCCAATGAAGGATGGAGGAAAGTGCTGCCATAAATAACAAGCCGCACGCTCTGCCTGCATAACTGAATGTACTTAGCAAAGGTAATGCAGGGGAATAACAGGGAGTAATGACGGAGCTCTGCTTGAAGGGGAACATAACGTTTTCTTTTTTTTTTTTCATTTTGGTGACCAAAGCTGTGGGGGAGTTTTTTTTTTTAAACACGCTTGTTGTTGATTTCATTTCTTCTCCCTCTCTGACCCTGCCTCGTGCTCTCCCTGCCTCCCACCCGCCAGCCTGTCACTGTTGTCTACACAGAGGACATGAAATGGGCCGAATTCGAGAAGACGTGGTAGCTGCTGCTCCGCACAGAAGGACTGCTGTCTCAGCAGCTGGGCAGCGAGATTAAAAGATACCACAGGGAGCAGAAAAGAGAGAATGAGGTGCAGACAAATTATCGTGACGGTCTCCTGTTTGTTGACAACAGCCTTACTTTAGTCACTGATCTATACTGAGATCTTCAGGGTGAATATTCAGGGATTTTCCTGCACCTGGTTTGCCACTTCTTCTAAGAGTCCAAATCCATTTCCATTGTTGCTTCATTATGATAGACGTTCTACAGTTTTATGAGCAGCATCTTTAAGGCTGTTTGTTGCTCTGTTACAGCCCGACAGATGCTTTTAAATCTACATTTTCTCACACAGTTTTAAACATTCTGTAAAACCATATGGACGGCCCAATGAAGATATCCGTCTGACTAAGTCCTCTACTCACGCACACACACGATATGGAGCCAGCTCAAACTGTTTACACACTGGAGAGCATCACCAGTGGGTATAATTTAGCAGGGGGGCCCATACACGCTCCACGCTCACGCCATACATCTCCTTGAAAGCAGGGTTTTGTGCCAGCCTAATTTGATTACGCTCAGCCTCAGTGTGATTCTTTGCGTGATTCTCCCGTCTCTCCCCCCTTGCTCACCCTGCTCAATCCCACTTTATCAGGCGGAACTGACACTATTGTTGAGGCAGGTGGCAGTCTGAGGGACCCCCAGGCACGATCCCACTGTAGAAGGGAAATAACAACCTCCACAAACTCCCTGTCGCCCCTGACGGTCATTCAGCCATGGATAGTGAGAACCAAACAGAGACACTTGAGCTCAGATTCGATAACAGGACGTGACATTCTGAGAAGGATCCTTAAATCAGACGTGTCACTGGGTGAATGGACTGCATCCTGTTTGTGACCTGTTGGAGCGGCACAGCTTGACATCTGCAGACATTTCTCCTCCCGTTCATTAGAAGCATTCTTTATGGAATGTATGTGGTACTGCACCTTGGAAGTGGAAAGCTCTGGACTCGCCGTGGAATCCCTGGACCTGAGTAACTCCATCAAAGCCTTGTCCAAGTGTCAGTTCATCAAACAGGTTGATGCGCAGGGCAGGGTCCACCCCAAAACCTACAACTAATGCACAAACACAAGATTTACTGACAGTTTAATCAGCATCAACGGACACTGCTGACGCTGTAAGAACTGTGCTGAGAGACATTTGATCAGACATGTGTGGATGACCTACAGTGCAGAAGGTTACAGTGACCACATGTCAAAAACAACACACTAAAACATAAATAATGGATTATTTCGACGTTTAGACTGCAGACCATGAGAGGCTGTTACTGTACGACGGTGAGAGTCGGTGTCCTACCTGAGGAGGCGCAAAATATGCCGAGAGCCAAAGATATCTGTAATAATCCCATGGTGTATGAGTGAAAGTAAATTAGTCCATGTTTTGTCCACTTCCAGGAGACGGTGCTGATCAACCACATGCGGCTGGTGTCAAATCTCTAACGGTGGGTTATCACTGATCCCAAATGTTGAGCGGAGGCATCGCTGCAACTTTAGATGCCCAGTGGGGCAAGAAAAGAAGACGGGGAGAAAAATAACAAGACGTAGCGGCTCTAAAAATTACTCCATGTAACGCGGGATCTGCTCCATCAGCAGCCTCCAGCGCAGGTGGTCGATGATGAGGATGCACAAAGCGAACAGCCGCTGCTCCGACTGCTCCACAGACTGTGCTACAGCAGTGGGACTGAGAGCCGGAGGAAGAGAGAGAGAGGAGAAAAGGAAATGCAAGAGACGGAGAGAGAGAGGAGTGGGAGGTAGGCAAAGGGACGATGAAGCCCTCTGGTGGCCAGAGGGGAGAAGCTGTGCTAAAATAATAGGCGGATAATGACTTTATGCTCTCCCACTGCTTGGATAATAGTTGTCTGCTGTTCAAAATGAAATTATTATCATCGGTAAATTATAACGATAATTGTGTCACATATTTCTCCGAGGACGAGATGCGAGAAATTGGTTTGGACAGAAAATATTATTTAAATATATTAACTATGAGCACACGACTAGGGACAAAATTACGAAAAAAACAAAGTTACACATTTCCCCCCCAGGGCTTCTATGTAGAGCACCGGGGGTTTTATTCTTAGTTTTTCATTTATTTTGTGTTTAAAGAAGATATTAGTCAACAAAAGACGTTTATTTACACAGTTACCCGCATATCCAAACAATAACACATAAACAGTGACAGTGACCACCGTAATATTAAAGAGCAATATTACAGGTCACTTTTGTACAGGAACGGTCGAAACCAGAGGTCTTCAACGGAAGTCAGCGACGCCTGCGGTTTAATTGCGGTACTGCGGGGTGGAAGTTAAATATTACACTGAAGGGAGAAATACAGTATATATATTTATACACACACAAAGCATATTCACACGCAAAGCACATTTACAAGAAGGCAAAGGTTGTTCGATCTTCAGAAGTTGACAGTGAATGTTAGAGTTAAAATAGGACATCTTTCTTTAAAACGTTTGACTTGACCCTAGTAAAACCCTGAATAATTACTTCAAGAAAAAAATGAAATGTAATAATTTCCTGGTCCTGGAGACAATACTGCCCTGATGTTCTACGGACCTAGAGTACCTGACGTTCAGCAGCCTTTCACACCTCTCGCTGTGTTCCAATTAATGAGGTCACAGCCGTGGTCTGGAGCCTCATGAATCACACTGGCCATTGTGGATGAAGCTGCTCTGAGCAGGCAGCTGATAAGTCAGCTCTTTTCTGTTCAGAACAGTTGTTCCAGTTTGAGGCGGTTGGCCTCATTTACGGCTACTTCAAACCATCTGTCTTCTCCGTCCACAAATACAAAAATCAGAGGTGGGTGGGGGTAGTGACGATGTGAAGGCAAGGACTTGATTTCACCTGTGTGATTGTTAAGATGTCCAACAATAAATATTATTTGGGTTTTTTTCAGCAGGTGGTTTTAATAAAAATATAAACAAACATTAGGTTTTTTCGCTGCTAAATTATACCCACTGTAGATATTCCATTCTAATGGATAACATATCTCTGGTGTCTTCAGTTGGTAACATATTCAGTCCAGTGGCTCATAGATGAAAAACTGAAAATTTGTGGCAGCCTTCTATGTGGACCAGCATCTCAAGATTGGGCCACAGACCTATAGTTAAGAATCACTAGTACACAGTATATATTTGTATCCTGCATATTTAATTAGTCCTAGGATGAATACTCCCAGCCGCCCCGCTCAATACCACAGAACAATATTTCATCTGAATCCGCTGTATTTCCTGCAGTTCCAATGTCAGGATAACAAGGCCGTGTTGCTGCTCCTCTATTGGCTGACGTGTCAAGGCCGGTGGATATGAGTTACTGTGTGGTCACAGGTCAATGCTGAGTGCACCACATTAACACCGTTCTGTTTGAAATATAAATCTGTCTTTTTTTCTCACTTGTCCCACCAATGGCATCATAAAAACAAAACATGCTTCCTAGGGCTGTGTTTTAGCAAACGAGCACTTTGTGTTTCTACAGTACAGAGGGCGCTACATATGCACACACATCGAATGAGTCCCTATTGTCAAAACAACAAAGACTGCCTCTCTCTGGACTGAAGACTGACTGGAGAAGAGACGGAGAAGAGAGTAAAAGGCTGCACTAATCCTTCAAAATAAAAGGTTCCATTTTGGATCCAGCCAGAGGGAATGTAATGACTTTCAGGTTGTATTTTCTTAAAGTGTCCATCAGGAAATAAGAGTCAATAAAGCTATGAACTACACATGCTGTGTGTGTGTGTGTGTGTGTGTACTTTATCAGACATATCTCCAGGCAAAGGCAGAGAGACAGTGGAAGTCCTTCTGTTCATCTCATTTCAGGATCCAGACGGATGATAAATTACAAGTCTTTGTGGAGATATTCTCTCAGGACGGTAATGGCCACATACGGACCAACTACAGAGCCAGAGGAAATCGATTTCACCGTAGCTGCACCAGGGTTACAGTGAATTGAAGATAAAAAATACATACTGTATCTGGTCTGATCTTAAAGTACCCTCCTGGGATCAATTTTGTTGCACAGGTCTGTTTAATATCGCTGGTTCCCTGGTAACAGAAACAGAGAGATCAAACCGAAATATAAAAATTAAATGTACAAAGTAAATGTTCATATGTAAATGCAGCCAATAAGTTAAGCTACATTTTCATAATTATTAATTGCGTTGATGCTGAAACCGATCAAGCGCTACGTATTTTTTTCTTTAGTTCTCTTATTGCCATCTTGTGTTCATGATATTGAATTACACCCTCTGAGTCTGAGAGCGGTAGTACTGAGATCAGACAGAGAGTGTCACTCTAGGACTTTACAGGGTCCTCCATGTCTTCCAAACAAAAACTTATTACACTTACAACAAGTAAATAATAATAAAATCTGTTTACTGTCTTCACAGGTTACAACGGCCTGCAATATCTCCGCACGCCCCCTGCGGACCAGTTGAGGCCATCTGATTAATTCATAGTGAGTATAATGTATGTGATGTAATGTGTAATGTGAAGATAACTGTTACATTTCTGGAAATTAATTTAAAGGTACATTGCATAAAATGAAGAAACAAGTACTGGTAAAGTGGTAAAGTTTTTGTGATTGATTTTTAAAACTATACCATTCCTATCCACAGCCATGAATAGTAGAAATGTATCATTAAGAAAGTGATCACTAAAAACCGGTTAATATATTAATATTATGTTATCTTTCAGAATGTCATCACTAGAAAAGCTATTTGTCTCTGAGGAAACCATGTTGATCCAACATGGCTGCCTCATGATTAGACACAAACATTTTTATAATAAAATTGTCAGATATAATTAATACAAATACAGTTAATATTTTGCAGTAAATGTATTTGAAGCATTTACTGACTTGTAATTAACATGTATTTCTGCTAAGAAAAAGAAGAAATTTAATCTACAGTATATCTCCAGATATCTTTGATATCTTGTTCTTGTCCGACATGAACCTACTCTTAAAGGCCATTTGGTTTTGTCCTGGCTGATCTTTTATAGACTGACCGTGCTGTGCGGTTGCTCCACAAAGCAACTCCCATTCCTCCAATGCATCCCATTGTGAATGTGTGCAATGAGCTGCCTCATTGGGCCCTGGTGGTGAATGGCCGGCAGCCATTCACTCAGCACAGAGGAGCTCATTAGAACTCTATAGACACACAATTGTGAGGCTCACATTAGAAACTTCCTCCTGTGGGCCACAGACACTGCACACAAAGTGCCAGTTTGCTGCTAAGCTAAGCGCATTGTCTTCCTGATTCATAGAGCCTGGCCCTCCATTCACGATATTAAGTTCGAGCGGTGGAATATCAATTGCGTGTGCAATGGGCCGGTATCTTTTTAAGCACTTTAGTGGGGTTAAAAGAGAGAGAGAGAGTGAGAGAGAAAAGGGATCTCAGGCCTTCAGCTGAGTGTGAGCTTTCAACATGACCATTGTGGAGAGCGTGAATAAAAGGGCCTGTTTTTCCCTCCATTTCTTAAAAAAAAAAAAAAGCGACATGGACATCAAATACATTCACATGAACTTGCTTTAAAGAGTTTCCAAGACCTAGTGTTTGGGAATAGCTTAATTATACCGCTGTCCCCTGGAGAGCGCTATTGAAATTTTTGTCTAATTAAGAAGAGGTGCATCTTAATGACAGTACAAACGTAGAAGAGGTTTTTAAATGTGTGTTACTTACATGTCACTAACAGAAATATGCACTTTAATCCATTTGCCCTATTTTAGTTTTTTTCTTTTCTTTTTTTTGGACAAGAAAGATAATTGTTATAATTTGCTTTTGACTCAAAGGCTACTAAAAACTATTGTTGTGAAATATATGAAAAAATAAAGGATTTGTATTGGTGGTACATACAGGACGCCTTTAAAACACACACAGATGTAGCTGTTGTAAAACAGAAGTGTGAAAAGGTTTTCACTCATTTTTGTTTCCCATAACAGACCTTTGAGATCCGTCACTGGTCCATATGGATCATGTTGACACACACCGCAGCCACACAAACACACTTGAACACAGACTTGCTAACACTCATCATGTGACAGAGTGCTGTGCCTTCTCCACCAGTCTTAGGAATAAAAACACAAATTTGATTACAAGCAACCTTTGGCTTCCTGGCGATCACACAATAGGCTGAGCTGTCTGGGCCAATTTCCATGCTCAGCATGAGGTATCCACACGCACACGCTGCGGCTCCCCGCACCCCCGGCCAGCGCGGCTATGCCTGTTTACTGTGCCCAAACTCCAGCTCTGTCACCCCTCTTGTTGCGCTCTCCATTATAAAGTTGAAGATCATTAGTTGCAGTGTGAAAGGTTACACAAGTCTCACATTGGATGTGCTTGTACCATAGCAGCAGGATATTTATTTTGAAGTTGTTATCCTCGAGTAAACAGCACACGCGCTACTGAACAAATTTGAAATGAAAAAAAAAAAAAAAAGGGCATCAACACCTGCTGGCTGACAACACAACACAGTTCAGTGAAATATATTTATCCTCAAATGTAAAATCTTGCTTTGGTTTGTTCAAAGAAATTGAAAAAAAAGATGTGAATTTAAGGTGTTTTATGAAGTTTAGTATAGAGAAGGTTTATATTTTATATTCTTAAAGAAAATAGAGGTAAACACAATTTCTACAATATAGTTAATATTTTTATGATTTAATTTAATTGAAATTATCTTGTAAACATTTAAGTAATATTGTCAAAAAAAATGCTGATAAATTTCTATTATAGTAGATTACTCTAAGTGAAGAAGAAGTGAAGAGTCAGTGCTAAGACTGCACGTTTGGTCCTCTGCAAACTAAGGCCAGCAGTTCATTGTTTCTGGTGTCTATCATTTAATAGGCTAGTTGACATAATGAATGAGCCGGGCCCACCTTCTGCCACTCTAAAAAAAGACCCCAGCCTTATCTGAATTGAGAAGCACATTAGAGCCTCTCGGCCAATCACAGCACAGTCCAGCTGCTAAGTGCAGGCCCAAAGGAGGAAGAGTGGAAAACTTTTTGTTTTCTTCAGACTTTAATGAAGTTGGCCTGGTCACTCGTGAAGGGATTAAAGGACAGTTTGGTGTCACCGAGCCTTGACTGCCGAAGGAAGAAAACACAAGTGTTCGGATCACGGCGTGGAACAGGATGGTTTCCGTTCAGAGCTGCACCAGGAGGAATGTGCCCAGTTCTCCTCCTGCTCTACCAGGATTCGGCAGCTCAGGAAAAAGTTTCCTGATCGACAATCTGCTCCAGGCGTCTACGGCTAATTCTCATGCAGCCCACCTGAGACGAGCAGTGAGTGAACATCCCAGAAGAACCTGGGCCTCGGAGCATGGGCTCTACCAGTGTCCGGCCCTGAGTCCACAACAGGTGAAAGATTTGGGAGGACATGTACTGCCTCACTCAGGTAAGATGAATATTTATAAGAAAATAGTAAATCTGACAAATAATATAACATTTAATAGCTATTTTATATTTTTTCTCTTTTCAGTTTTATATTATATAAAATAACTGTTGTGTTTGATTATGGATTTTTTTTTAACATTTTTCACAAAATCCGTTAACACTAACATAATTATTTTCTGTTATGAAAATTATACACATCATATTGGAACTTTTAAATATGAATTTTTAAAAAGTTATAGCAAAACCGTTAGCTAAAAATAGTTAAATCTCTTAAGCAAAAACATTGGTTCAAATTGTAAAATTAGATTATATTTCTATATATATATATAATATGAATAATACTATATAAGAATAGTAATTATTACATACAAATACCTCAGAAACTGATTATACTCCAGTTTGTGATGTTAGACTTTATAGTCATATTAAGTGGAGACAAAATATTCAATTGAACTCATTTTAATTGAGTTTTTTTAAATTAAACAACCAATCTGATCATTTAATTATCACCATTTTTAATAATTTTTCATGATGATCAAAAAACCCAAATTTTGTTCTACATTTTGTGACACATGCTTTCTTCCTTTCCTGATCCTCTCATTTCTAAAGTTCATATTGTTGAAATCATTTCTGGTCTATTAGTTTCTTGTTTATTTATCATTTTTTGTAGTCAGTAAAAAAATTACTAGACAAAATGTTTTAATTAGATAAGGAGATAAAGCAATTTTTGTATTTAAAAAAAATACAAGTCACAATGTCAGACATGGGAGTCATCTGTTGAACCTACACCTGGTGTGTCTGCGTCCCTGTTTGACTCGGCCTCTCTGTTCCTCACAGGTATGATCGGCAGTGTTTTCCTACGAAGCCCACCGTATCTGCTGGCATGCTGCGGTGGGTCCAGCCCCCCTCCTGTCTTCTCCAGTAAGTGTTTTATGCCTCAACAGCAATGCCTCAGCTACTCTCTAAGAATGACCATCACGGGGTCTCCTAAACTCTTCACAGCTAATTACTGATGCAATAGTGAAGAGCTAATTCTCCCCTCAACTCTGCACAGCTCTATTCATGACCATTCACCGCTTTTCAGGGTTGAGAGGAGGGTGGGTTGCGTGGCTTTTTAGTCCCTAGGGGCCCCCTATTTTGCACTTGCAAACACAGTCTTTTACTATCATAAATATGCAGAGCTAATAATCATCTTGTCTTCTGTCATATTAAGATTATATTTACCAGGTGCAGATTACTGGTGACCCATTTTTTTCATAGTTCTGTCTTCTCTAAACAACTAAGAGGACGATGAACAATTTCAAAAAATGTCAAAATATCAGACACTGCCTTATAGGTTTTAAACTACACATACTTTGTGATTTGGAATTACAGATTAGTGCACATCATTTAAACAGCACTATGCTGTAATACAATAGTACTTAGCCTGGTATCTGAATTGTTTTAAAGTAAATGGAAGTTATTAGTTACTGCATCCTCAACTACTGCTCACCCGAGGAGGAAAATAGCGCAAATCACGAGACCCTCATCCCACAGGTCTCTGCAGTTCTCCCAGTAGGTTGACACTTTCCCACAGTGCCCAGCAACAGAACAAAGCCAAGTCTGGCCGTGACCAATTGGCACATTCACTCCACCATCCACACGCGACCCCACTGCAATTTTTCACTGCAGCAATGAACTCCGCCAAGCACAAAAAACTAGCCCATTCCTCGGCAGAGGAGGGTTGGGCCAGGAACATCCCCCAGCCATTGTGTGGCTAAAGGGTTTGCTTCACTGACCCCCTCTCCACCCCCCCACCTTCTTTCTCCTGTCCTTCAACTCTCATTCCTGCCCATTGGAGACCTCTTGACTAGGACATAAAGCATTCAATGGGAGTGACTTTTATAGACTTATTCGAGCTCATCTTCACATACAAACTTGCTTCATACCTGCAAGTGAAAAGATTTAGTGTTTGGGCCACTGAGCCATGGAGTAATGGCATTTCCATTGAAGCGCTCTATTGTCGGTGTGCCACATGGCTCTATAGTTGGCCCACTAGGGTAGACACACACGTTGCCCAGGAATGACCTGGTAATCAGCTATTTAAGTGAGAGCCTTTCAGTCCCATTAGAGCGGTGAGAAGCATGTCCAAACCACTTATGTGCTCCCCAGAGGTGGTCTATGTGCAGATTTGTCGTACAGATTAAAAAGGCAACGTTGAATAGATGGGATAAATTGTTCCACTTGACTTTTGTTGTGCGTGCACCTGTGAGTGAAGCAGCGTGGGATTGCTCCTCACAGGTCACCAAATTCTCTTTTTCTCAGATAAAATGGCTTTTCTATTCTCTTTAGTCACCCCCAGTTTGTTAAATTGTGCAAACAGGATGCGGGAATTGAAAAGTGACTGATAAAGAAAGTGTGACAAAACAGGAAGCAGGTTTGAAATCTGGCGAAAGAAACGGGCATGAGGAGAAAATGACTGTAGGTCGAATCACATTGTGAACTTGTTTATCAGAATTATATGAACTAATGAATGGGGATCATTTAAAATGAATCCAAAAAAGAAAAGTCATATTTTTCAGGAACTACATGTGTTCAATTTATAAACCCAAAGAAATCTATACATCGCCTACAGACACAAGGATTTTAAATTTAAAAAAAATTATGGTCAGATTAAAAAATACTTTTTGGTGCTTCACTGACTATGATCAATGAAATACTTTTGCTAAAGAGTTACAACCTAATGATCAAAAAATGAAATAACTGTTGTTTTTCAATTTTCCCCATTTATCCTCAAGAGGGAGCAAGTATGCGTGTGTGGTCTGCCGATGGAAGTCCTAAAGTTCGTCGAGGGATTCTAAGGAGGGCCGTTTTCTCAGAGGAGCAGCGCAAAGAGCTAGAGAGAACTTTTCGAAGACAGAAGTACATTAGCAAGACGGACCGGAACAAGTTGGCAGCAGATCTCAGCCTCAAGGAATCACAGGTACTGCAACAGAGGACTATGTACATTGTTGACCAATAAATATCTGTCTGTTTTTTACATTAAGACAAAAGTTGCCTTCATGAGCAATATGACAATGTTTATTTCCACAATTTAAATCTAATAAATGGGTTGAGGAAAATCTAATTTTCTTCACGATTATCTACAGCAGTCTAACTGAGCAACGATTATGATCATACGTACCACCCCCAGGAAATTACTGAGAAACGAAAAAAAAGACAGAATTACAACTATTACTTTTAGATAATCTTTACATGATAATAAGGTACTTGGGGACCCACAACTTATTGGACAAAGGATGTTGGAGTTGATGGGCAATGAAGAGAAGAAGACTGCAGAGAAAATTTATGGATGTTTTTAAAGAGGACACTGAGTTGGTTGGTGTAACAGTAGAGGAGGGAGGGAATAGGGACAGATGGGGGCAAATGATCCACCATGGGGACCCCTTAAGGGAGCAGTCAAGAGGTCGAGAAGGAAGATGCAAGAAGACGAAGGGAGAATGAAAAGAAAAAAGCATTAGATGACGGAAAATAAGGAGAAGGACCAACAACTGTGGTCTACTACTGGAGTGGATAAAAAAAAAGAAAAGCTTGTGGTGCTAAAACAGATGTAGACTTGTGTGTTATAGGGTTAGGGTATAGGGTTATAGGGTAACTTTTCGTTGCGTTGCTAAAGTCCGTCTGTAATTCCACAATAAAAATGTTATTTTCTCCTCAGGTAAAGATCTGGTTCCAGAACCGTCGCATGAAGTGGAGAAACTGTAAGGAGAAAGAAGTTCAAAATGCCTGTTCTCCAATGGATGAGCTCATGGTGCATGGACTGACAGAAGAAGATGCGAAACCATCAAAGAATCAGAGTGACGCAAAAACACAAAGAGCGCCAACGCACAAGAACGTCAAAGACGAATGAGAATAACTGGACTGTCTAACTTTCATTATAATCAAAAGTCGACGATCTTTGATAATATGTTGCTCGATTGTTCTGTACATTTGAAAACTAACAATATTAATATTTTTATGAAGCAGACGACTGTTTAAGAGCCTCGTGGATGCACTTGTGTGCAACTGCTTGGCGTGTCATCCTTTTGCTTATCATTGGCTTCAGTAAACACGGTTGTGACGACTACACTGATGAGTCTTTCCTGGAAAGATTCGTGTTTGGATGTAATTCAAATTTAGTGCAAAAATGAGTCACTTCATTAACTGCATTTGTTACTGCAAATGAGACATCTGCCCCCAAAATAACAACACAGCACAGCATCATCACAGCATCATCCTTTGATCTCACTGTTGTGTCCCAGTTAAAAATAGATGTGGGTCAAGAACCTGAAGACATCTCAGATGATAAGGACTTAGTCACTGTTGCGATGCTCGGGTCAGTATATGCTGAGTAAGATAAAGGTCATTTAAATTGGAAGCAACCATGAGATGATGCATCGTCCTGATGTTGGAATATCTTTACATCTGAATGTATGTCCTGTAAATTGAAGATTTTGTAGATATTTGAGTTCTTATCAGTTGTAAATAAAATATTCACGTGTATTAGATTTCCTCACTCCTGACTCTTACTATGTTGAATGCGATCAAAGGTACGGTCCAGTGAGTCCACCTTCAATATTACCACGGACCAAACCAAAAAGGCATTTGAAATACATTTTATTTATTTTTCTACTTTCAATGCTGAGTAGTACAATTAAACATCAGAAAAATACTACATTTGCCCCAGAAATACATCAGCGTAAATGCATAAATAATATGGACTGCTTTTAACAGTCTGTACCTGGAAAGGTGGTGCATTTCAGGACACGGAGATAATTTTTGACTTTGTTTGCGTCTCTGTTGAGGCAGAAGAGCAGGTTGTGGTGGTCCACCGAGTTGAGTTCTCCTCGCTTGTAAAAGGAAAAGTCAGACACAGGGACAAAACTCTCAGGTGACAGGAAAGTCACAGAATTACCAAGTGCTCCGAGTATTTTCATCTGAAAAAGAAAAATTAAGGTTAAGAATAATCTTAAAAAAGGGCATAACATTTTAAGGTGAAAGATAATAGTTTCAAAAAAATTAGAATTGCAACAAACAGTAAAATACAGTCAAAATTAACAAATTAATCACATTAAATAATATAACTAAAAGCAACCAACTGTATGAAGCTTAATTTTGAATATCAGTTTTGCATAATTTTCCATCATTTGTCACAAATAAAAACAGGAGTCAGTCACACACATCGACCTGCTGTCTTTCTGTTCCAGAAATATACAGAAAATAAAGTTTTTATTGTAATATTGATGATTTATTAATCATGGTGAATAATGATAAATGTTCTCTACCTTGTCGGCCATTTTTGTCACCCCTTCCCTCAGCTGGTGCAGCATGTCACTGATCTCCAGTGCTTTGTTGGATCCATACTGGTTAAAGTCTTGATCCTGATCCGGGGACATGCTCAGGTGGAACTGTGACAACGGGTCACTCCAGGCTTCCAGCAGCCTCAGGATCACTTCGATCATTTGTTCTCGCTGTAGGGAGAATCATGTCTTAATTCCAGGCACTGTAAAAAATCTGTTAGTGAGATGACCAGGACTGAAGAAATCCACTCACTCCCAGCCTTTGGGCATTTTCCTTGTCATCTGGTGTTGGTATAGAATATGTGTGGCATTTCCGTTTGCCAATGAAGTTCCTTCTAGGTAGGAAATTCTGCTCCTGCAAAGAAAAGGAGAGACACAAGAAGTATCAATTTAATCAGGAATAACAAATGATAATGACACAAAATTAAGTGAATTTTAGAAATAAACTCACAGATTCCGAGTGCAGACTGCTGGAGATGCCATGCATTCTCGAAGACTGCTGTATGACCCGGTCAAAAAAATCTGCCAAGGAAGAACTAGGACATCCAGCCTGCCCGTAGATACAGATTGGGGCAGTGCCCACCCTCATGGAAATCTCCAGGTACAGCAGAGTAAGAACTGCAAACCAAGCTGAGGAGAGAAGAAAACTATTACTTTGTGCATTCCTAAAAATCCACAATACTATAAAATATGCTGTAGTTGGTCTTACCTGTTTTCATTGTTCTTTTTTATGATCCAGCACCAGATGATGAGTCTTTGCAGCCAGCGTGACTCGCACAAAGCAGTAACTCATACAGTGGTGACGTTTCCTTCACAACATATGACTTTATAAAGGCAACACATGTAACAAATGCACATCATATGCTTCGCTCAGTTATGCACTCAGCCTTGAGCAGACAAAACTCAACCAGGCGGAAAAACCACTGTAGACTTGCATGGAATGAAATAATCAATTTTTAATGAATCAACGTTAATGTTGACTCACTTCAGTCGGTGTGATTAGGAAGTAAAAAAAAAAACACAGTTGAGCATCTCCCCTCTAAATTAAACCACTGAATTGATAATAAATATTAAAGTCAGAGCAAACAGGAGATGATTTGAATCCAGTCTTAATGTTATTTGTCAGTAACTTAAGTGTGCTGGTTCGACATTACAGTCGTTCATTCTTCCAAACATTTATTACATGTATTCGTGTACCATATACACGGGCAGAGGAGCAAAACCACCATAACTTTTGGCGACCGTTTAAAAATAACATTTGACTTTTTAAAATGTGTTTTTCTTTTCAACTTTAACTCCTGCTGTAAGCAAACACTGAAAATATACTGCAGTTCAACAATTTTATAAATGAAAGCATGTCTAAAGACAAACATTCACAGCGAGACTAAACGCCCATTGTGGCTCACCTTGTAACATTCATTGTTTTAATTAAGTATTGTAAAATGTTAATGCCATCTTTTGTTGAGCAGTGCCATCTGCTGTAGAACTGTGTAGTCTGGTTATACACACCATGCATTCAGATGTAAAGTGAGTCGTTGATCACTATCACGCTAATCCATACTGAACACACTACTACAGTTTGAACACTCACCCACACTGAATGAAAGCACACAAAAAAAGTACTAACACTTACACAAAACAAAATATATTTTTTTACAAGATATTTTATTGTCAACTTTTTCAAGTCATCAACATAAAAACAGTTGTCATAAATACGCTAATATATTTCAGAAAATAGAATCTGCAATCAATTTACATGTAATAACATTATGTACAGGTTCGAGTGCATTTCATTACTTTGTGCTGAGGAAACAGTGATGACCTACTGAACTACTGAGGACATGTCATCACTGTCCAATACTGTCCTTCGTCAGGACAGTTATGGGTCAGGCCCAGTCCACTGTTCTTCTTGTGATGTCCTGGCAAATTCTGCCTTAATTCAGTGCACAGGTTTTTCTCTTTCTGCTCAACACCTGTGGTGCTTCCACTTACGAGTGGCCACTGCAATGTTTGTGTCTTTTTTGTGCCAAGGGAAGACACGTGTGAGAGCAAGAGTGCCATCAGCCTGCACAGAACCAGTCAGCACATAGAGCTGAGACCGTCCCGGGCGCACAAGGGCGTTGGCACACTGAAGATTAATGAGGAGCCATTGTTGGAGTAGGTGCTGGGTGTCGTAGGGCAGCAGAGGTCCCTGGCGGATAAACTCCACCCGGCCCTCCACCTCGAACTCTGGTTCTGCTGAAAACAGACGTCGACGATGGAGTTTGGCAGTAACAGCTGCAAAGGACAGAAAAAAAATTATAACTTTAAGAAAGAAAAAAAAGTATTTTATCCGTGTACATACTTCACAAAGTATATTTCTTTAACAAGTCACAGCTTTCTGAAATTTGAAACTTACCGAAGTCATGCAGACAAAAAGCATCCAAGACTTTTTTCATTGAAGGAGCTTCTTCCACAGCAGGACAGTTTTGACAAGCAGGTTTAGGAAGGTCTAAAATTAGAAACAAAAGAAAGTTAGAGAAATAATAGAAACGCGTTAATTCTAATTGTTGTCAGCTGCTGCAGCATTCACATTACTCTGCATTGTTGCAAATATGGTAAAAAAAACTGTATGGCTCTTACCTTTTGCAAAGTGATTCAATTTTGCATGAGGAGTGAGGCACATGTCCTCCTCAGCAGGGAAACGGTCACAGTTGAGAGCCTCGGGCCATGGGCGACCTTGGCAGGCGAGCACGGGAGCACAGCTGTCCCTCACTGCCACACACAGACTACGACAGGGCTGGATAAACCTGAGAGAGGAAGACGGAAGACAAATGTCAATGATATTGTTATGACAGGAACAATGTGTTTCAGGAATAATTTGAATGTAGAGAAGACCAGAGAGCATCCTTACGTGTCAAGACAGACAGGAGCAATCAGAGAGCAGAGGAAGGCCTGAGCTTGAGGGTGGCAGCCGGTTTGCAACAAGGGCTTCCAGTCTTCTGATCGTGGCACCACCTCCCGTTCCAAATTGCTATGGCCCAAGAAGTTAGGTAGACGCATCTCAGAGTATCCTACGTCTTTGCAGACCTTCATTTGGTTGGGGATGGCGACGCAGCGAGTTGACTGACCCATGTCAAACGCCACTGCTGAATGTACCAAAACCAGGAGACTTGCAGCGAAGATCAATGCCATGATGACGATTTAAAAAACTCTGGAGGATCCAGAAGACAGCTGAGACTCTTCCTGAGGGTGCTTGTGGTCTGAAGACTATGCTGTCCTTGAAGGACTCTGAAACTGCTGCTGCAGCAACTGCCTTATATACCGCAAGATCAGCCGGTCCCATTAGTCTTTAGTCTGTTATCAACTACCTATCAAAGACACCGAGACGATGTGTTTGGAGACAACGGCTTGTTTTGTGTTGGCTGCAGACGGGGGGTGGCAGGAGGAGGGTGGGTGACGTGAAGGGAGGGGGAGGCCATAACAGCAGCTTTCACTTTATGAGTCTCGTGTCACAGAGATGTAATTCTGCTTTTTTTTTTAACTTTTACACTTTTTTTTCACTTTTACAATTTATGACAAGTTACCAGGAATTATTGCAAAATAGTAAATGGTTCAGTGTACAGTAAATGGTTGACTCAACATTATCAGCTTAGAACAACATGTAGAAATTACTATTTCACAATTTATTTCATTGGAAAGAAATCTTACATTTGCAGACGGTCTTATTCATTCTCTAATGTATTTCCAACTTTTAATTAGTTGTTAAATCAGCAGAGCCCCTTATTTTCATCAGTCCTTAACTGGAATTTACTTAAAAAAGTCAACATGGAATCTATGAAATTGGAGCAGTGAAGAAACTTTATTAATAACGTCTGTGAAGCTACTCTGTAACTGTGTATGTCTGATAAGTCCATTTTTTATTGTCTGAATTCCAGATGCAAGTCCTTAATTTGTAGACACATGCATCATTACGTAAAACACAAGTATGGTCAAAGTAAGTGAGGGATATGATTAGGGACAGATGTGTAGCTGCAGCACAGCAAACCAGAGAAAAAGAAGGAACAATTATCCCCATATTGCATGAGGCTAGGCATCACGTCTTGAGACGCAGACCAGAGGCAGATAAAAAAAGCCAATTTGTCTCATTTTGTGTCCCCTGTATTTTGGTCCCTTAATTTAACAACAGAACTACATTACAGCTCCAATGCATTTGTTTACATGCCGTCTGTCTCCAGATTTAGATGTATATCTGGCGTTGATGCCTTGAGGCCTTTTCAGAACTTTCCCCCCATGAATCAGAGGTCTCTATCCCACCCAGCCTATGATTTCAGACATAGTAAAACCCTACTCTGAATGGCTCTGCTCCCATCTGCATCATCAGCTGTGTCTCCAGCGAAGTATCACTTTAAAGTCAGCCAGGGCCCCGTTAGATTCACCAAGCCAGTCTGATAAGTGAAGGCTGGTTGTAGCAGTAGACGAACACAGCCTGTAAGAGGGGGACTAACTGGGCAATTAGAGTCAAAGACCAATTTGGGAGAACAATAGCTACATAGACTAAACAAGCTCCCCCTGCCAGGAGCCCAGCAAGGGTCTGTTGTTGGCCCTAATGGCTGTCTTGTAGACATGGTGTCTGTCTTGGTAATGTGTGGCCTGCCACTGCCTCAGTTAATGAGAAGGACAATGTTCCGAATGGATGAGCACCTGTCTGTCAAACGGAGACAATTTTTGGCCAAATAAAACTTTGCATCGATACGACAAAAAAAAAAAAAGAAAAAAAGTAACTTACCTATCTTAATCTTTTAACATTTTTAACAATAACAACATCAGCCTGCAGTGCAATGTACTTGGCCACCATGTTCTGCTAAAACATCCCCCCCAATCATATGTCCAAATACACATGGGCTTATTTTCTGATTTATGTCCATATGTAGAGGTATGGCATACACAGTAAAAAAAGGAATGTTTCCAAAGAAATTTGTTTTTTTCCAACGTAATAACAGAGAATAAAAGTACACTAAGCAGCAGTACCAAGACAACAATTCAAATACAAGCTGTTTAAATACAGGGCAACAAACCAAATTGTTGGTAAAAAAATATGTACGGAATTAGAGTTTATTTTGCTATAAAAGCAGGTTTTTGAACCACAGATTAATGCACACACTTTCTGAATAGCACACAAACACAGTAAGTGTCATGTAAATTAATTTAGGGCTATTTGACTCCACTGCAGGGATAAAAGTGTGACAGCAGAACAAACACCTGAGACACATCAAAGACTGGGGCTTGACTAAAGAACGACCTGTGTGTCTGAGAAAGGCCCAGTGCTGCATAGTGGACTCAGATGAAAGCTGTCTCCTCCCTTCACATTAGAGACTCATTTACTCACAGTCATTGAATTCCCATTTGCCCCCACAAACCTTCAAATGTAGCCATCCCATACATAGCCCACACCCCTCTATGCTACTGGGCTCCAGGAGGACTGACAGTCCTGCGCAGACTGTCAGTAGCACTCAATTGCAACATCCAGTCTCCGAGGCTTGCAGGCAGACGCAGCCACACCGAGGTGTGCAGACAACTTGCTGCAGACATCTGTGGGTTGACTCAGTATGCTAAACCACAGTCACAATCTATGTAGTGGCCTGAGGCACAGCGGCACATGAATAATGTTGGACTAATAAATCTAGATAAATCAAAAGAATGGTTAAGATTAGGGGTTAGATGTTGGCCAATCATTTTGTTGGTGACACGCATTTTTAGATAAAATAAAGAATAATTGCGACGTGACTTTGAAGATGTGTTAATGTGTCATCAGCATAAATTAAAATATTTTAGATTTTCTTTTAGCAATATTTAGGATAATTCTCCAAATTAACACAGACCTGTCTACCAGACACACTCCAACAGACCATAATTTACTCTACAACCTTCATTTCAACCAGATAAACCAACCACCAAAACATTACAGTGAAGTACAAACATTTATTTATTTATATTTCCTGAGAAATTTTACAGAAAGCACACCAACTTTATGTTAATTACTGTCTTCAATTACTTCTTTCATCCTCTTCAGCTCTGTGGGAGAAAAACAATCAGATTATATAAAAAACAAATCTAGTGGAGTTATATACAGTACATATCAGACTGAAAAGGTTACATTTCATGTACGCCTTAGTTATTAGTTTTTTTTCAGTCACAGAAGGTATATTAACCAGTTAAAATGATGACATCAGTGTGTTATTGCGTAGATATTGATTAAATTGCTTTCATTTGTCACACTCTAGAAATGGCCCGTTCTATTGCAATTACTGTATTGTCTGTTAGTTGTATTTCTCAAAACCTGTATAGAAAAAAACGTATGTGCAAGTCATGCTTCACGTACATCTGTGATTCTCTTAGCAGTGGAGGGGGATCACAGCCCAGATACGCTCCGTTAATAAAACAGTACTGCAGCAGAGCCCTGAAGCACAAATCCTAGAAAGAAATTAATTAATATTAATTTGTTTGTTTTTTTAGAAACTCGATAAGCCGTTGTACGACCAAGCAGCAACAACAAAAATACCGTTGAGGATGTAAGATAAAATCGCCACTTACCTTAACCAGAATGTGTGGATTTCCAACAATGAGGAGCAGGGCTTTTGAACGAGTGATTGCCACATTGAAACGTTTTGGGTTGGCAAGAAAACCGAGTGAACTCTGTAAATCCTCATTCTGCATCGACTCATTTGAGCGCACCTAATCAGAGAGACCATAAAAAGGAACTAAACTCCCGCAGAGTTATGACTCATTTGATGTGCGTGATACTTTCAGCTTAATTTAAATGCACGATGATTAAGTTTTGTTGCTGTATTTATTAGTCATGCAGACACTTCATTTGACCTCTCTTGGATCATCATGGTAGGACAGTCTTGTCTCTTGACTGTCCTACCATAAATGATCACAAGAGCCAGCATCTCAACTAGCTTTCTCATTTATGGATGGGTTAATTGTAGTTGTTATGAAAAAAAAAAAATTCTGAAGTTGAATACACAGATTATTAATTTCTGAAAACTCAGAAATTATTTTCTGACTCTGTTAATTTTGCAACCCCAGTTAATAACATTTTTTAAAAATAAAAATACATTAACCAAAAAAGATCAAACTTCCAGGAGTACAAATGGTACTGACGTAGAACAGAGCACATGCTACACATTTCACTTCATAATGAGACTTTTGCTTACTGTAGACATGATGATGACCAGAAACTCCTGTCCCTGGAACTCTTCCACCGACCCCACTTTGATATCAGACAGACCCACTTTTACCAGAAGCATTCGAATCTTCTCACACTAAATAGGAAATATTAGACATACATGTCAAAACATAGGGATAAATATATACCACAAAATAAAAAAAAAATGGGTATAGAATGAATGCAATACTTACTTGTTTCTTGTAAGGGGCAATGATTCCAATGTCAGAGGCATTCACGGGACGGTGGAGTTTCTTGGCCAGTTGACAGCAGTAGCTTCAACTGGGTTGAACCAGGACGGATTGTTGCCCTCCCTCATCTCTGTTCCCTAAAATGGTGTGAGTAATGAACTGGCATGGCAGTGGAGTTACATATATTGTGATAAAAACAATACTTGGTTTTGAAGAGTAGAATAAATCTACAGGCTCAGTTATAGATGGTCCACATTTTAGTTACCCTGACGCCATGAAAGAGAAGTGGGAGGCCTTTTTGGGGGAGTTTTTTCCACAGGCACAGTGACTCCACCACAGCACTGGGAGCTTTACAGTACAGTTCTTCCTGGTAAAAAAGCTTGGATGGAAGCTTTAGCAAGGCCTCATGGGAACGGTAGTTGTAATTCAGTTTAGTCACCTATGGAAGATTTTGCAAAAGAAGGAAAATGTGTGTAACACATCAGAAATGTTATTCTCAGTGTAGTTTTAACAACTCTGATGAGGTTCTATTTCAAGTTGTATTGACTGACCAGTTTAGGGTTGTATCCCCAGTCATGTCTGCTGTACAGAGGACTGGCCATCAGCCTCTCTAACAAAGACACACCCAGACCAAAGGCAACAGCAACCTTGGACTTAATGACAGGACCCAACTGACAGGGGTCTCCAGCCAACACAATCTGAGCACACAGATAAATAAATGAAGGCATTCTGACACTTACATAGGGAATAAAATTCAAACAATGGTGCATTGAAAATTGACTATACAGGACATTGAGTATTAGACTTCTTATGATAGCATAAAGTAAGTGTAATAAATAAGTAAAGTGTATGGTCTACACTGACCTGTCCATGTTTCTCTGATACCAGGCTAATAGGGATTAGAGACTCTGGCTCCGTGGCCTGGCCAGCTTCATCCAAGAACACATGGGTAAAATGTCCCACGCTAGGGAAACAAAACTCCACAGTACGCAAATTAAATCTAAAAAAAGGTTTAATATTAAATTAATCTCCTGAGCTTTTTGGACTTACTGGATTCCAAGATTATGAAACATGCCAGCACTGCTGCACGTGCTGACCACGATCCTGTGAAAAGATGCCTGACGAATGTCCTCTCCTGCCCTGGAATACCGTTGAAGCACATCTGGGATGGACTGGAAAAAGCACAGTCACATCTAACTGTCATACATCAATGAAGATGTCTTCATTTGGATCAAAATATTGTGAATACATCGGACAAGGTTCACATGCTACTGTTCAGTACCTCAATATGGCGGCAGGATGCGTTCACGCGTGCCAGACTGCCACAGTCCAGGAAGCCACTGTCATGTAGTCGTACACATATGAGGTCTGCAGCACTGTTGGATGGTGTACAAACAAGGACCCGGCTGCTGGGTACGTAGTGGTAAACCTTTGCAGTGAGAAGGCCAACAAATACATTATTTAAGAAATACTTTGACATCCCTGCAATATATGATTGAAAGATACATGTTGGGTTAAATGCTAACGTTGATAATGCATATTGTTTTCCTGAAGCATGTTTTTTTTTAACCAAATGTACCTGTAGAATAGCCTCAATGAGAGTAATGGTCTTTCCAGTGCCTGGAGGTCCAAAGAGAACATAAGGAGTGGGCCGACATTCTCCTTCCAGAATCCTCTTCACTGCCTCTCTCTGAGAAGGGTTCAGCTCAGGGTTGAAGAAGTTTCCTCTGCTGGGAATGGGCTTACATTGTGGTCTACTATCTGGAAACAGATCATTTTCTTTCTTAACAACATATATATTAATGCCTGATGTGTAAACCTAAATAAAAATAAAACCAACAGAAACAGCTTCACCTTTAGTCTGTGTGGCCTTTGACTTCATGTCAATGGAAACGCTTAAGACATTTTCATTGTCCAACCCTGAAGCCTGCTTTAATAGAAAGGAAAAAGAAACCTCAGAAATGATGGATATTAGTGAGTACTAATGCAAATATGTTGTTTTACCTTGATGTCCTCTCCAGGTTTGTTTTGGTCCGTCTCATCTATCCACTTTCCGGACCACTGAGGGGTCTGGAGAGTCACAGCTGATGGGAAAAGAACTGCAAACAAAGAATTTCAAAAACTGATTTTGGCCAAGACCAGAGAATTCTAAACATACTGTATTGACAGTCGTGTCATTATGAGTGGGTATTTTAGATATCAACAAACAGCACCACCTTGTGACAGATTGTCTTGCCACATTCAAACAACAACATATACTTCTGATTTTAAACCCGTGAGGTGAAGACAAGTTTTCTTGTATAGTACATGTTCTAATGTATATCTGCAGGTATTTAATGATACTAAAATTGATTATATTGTTACATTTTTGCATGTTACAATTAAAAGAAAAAAAGTCTATAGGCTTACTGTCACCAAAATCTTTAGTCTGGGCCAGTGCATTGTGACATCTCCTCATGGTAATTCTGGAAGAGCAAAAGTAAAGAGGTAAATGTATTTTCACTACAATAAATTGTATGGATAAATAAACAACTAGGACAAATGTCAGAGGACATGAGGGAACTGTGTCTCTCACCTGTTGTAGGAGAATTCAACATCCAGTGGTTCTCCGAGGTAGTTTCTCTGAAACTCAAAGTTCAGTCTCAAACTCACCTCCTCATCATTGATCTGTGACAAAAAAACAAAACAAAACAAAAAACGCTTCAGATTTCATTATAATTGAAGGACCTTTGTATATTTGTGGATGTAGTAGAGAATATCTTCATACCTCGGCCACAGAACTGATGTACTCTACGACCAAACCATCACTCCTCGCCTTCTTCAAAACTATTCTGTCACCTGAAGAGAAAACTGATTGCACCAATAATTCACGTAACAAATATCTGCAACAACTAATAACGACACTTGACACATCCTCACCAATACTTAGACTGGGTCTGCCCTCTGCCAACCCATTGACCACTAAGTGGAGATAAGCAGCTCCCTTTCTGAGAAGAGCTCCAGAGATGTTGAATTCCCGCAGCTCCCTTTCTGCATGCAGCTCTTCAAGCCAGAGGAGGGTGGAGAAGCGTGCATGCATGTTTGACGGCGACAGAACCTGTGCATCAAAAATTAAGTGGTTCGGTTTTCTCACAAATAAAAACACCAAGCCAACAGCTAGTACATGTATAATGTTTCTTACCTCTCCAAGGAGAGGCTGAAACACCAACACATCACCTTGGGCCTCAATGCAGTCTTTGAGAGATTGAGGAACTGCAAACCTTGGTAGGAAGTGTGGCATCTTCCTTTTAGACAGCCTGAACGCATACACAAGGATACAAAACAGGTTCCAAAAACAAAGAAGGAAGTTACTGAAATATTTGTATTGAAAAATAAAAAATCTTAAACTTCTAATTTTACAAAAATTAGTCATTTGTGAACTATGTTAATATAACAAATGAAACTATATTTCGGGATTGACCTTGGAGCAATTTTTGGAGCAGGGTTGGTTATCACTTGAGTGGGTGTTAAGATTGGCTGAACATCAGTGGGAGGGTAGGGAACAGAGGACTGAAGGCTCTTCACATCCTCAGTGCTCACGGTGACTTCCAGGCGCCTCCCAATGGTAAAAGAAGAGAAGTGCAGCAAAAGCATCTCTGTGCAGATGCCAAGGCTCCTGAGAAATGACAAACATTTTTCAGCACAGAAGACACAGTAGTGAAAGCAAGACCACCATAGATAGAAACAAACCAAAATATGGCAAATGTTAAATTCAAAAACACTTTACAATAAGTTGCATTTCAAAACACATAAAATACATCTCTTACTTGGCTTGACACGCTATCGTAACAGACACCCTCTCTCCAGGCTGAATATCAAGCTCCCTCTCCTCTCGCCGGACCCCAGGGACATCAACAGCCTTCTGCAGTGCTTTGTCATTATTTTCTTGTTTTTCAAAAGAGTCAAGAACAGACTGAGACTCAGGGCAGTTTTCTGTTGAAGCCTGTTTCTGTAGTGTGGAGTCCTTAAGAGTAACAAGGTAGAACTGTTCCTCTGAGTCCCAGCCAGCAAAGTCACAGTAGAGCAGCCTGTGGGTCTCTGAACCTTTATTTCTGCCATAAGAGAAATATTCATTTTACTTCATTGAGCCACTTTTGCAGAAGTCTTGTTTTCTATCAGTTCGACTAAGCGAAAGGCAATAATGATAAAAACAAAACCTTTGACATTTTCCTCTGGTTTCTTCTGTCTTTGTGATTACTCACTGTATCCAAAGCACCAGATATCGTCTTTCCCCAATGAGCAGCTCCCCAAACTGTTGACCATAGTCTGACACATCCAGGTCTTGTTTGTTTTCCAAGATTATGTGAGTTTTAGTGTCTGATGGACGTTCAGACAAAGAGCTCACACTGCAACAACAATTCACAAGGACACGAATAAATAATAATAAAAAAGAAATGTTAAAAATCAGTTAGTGAAAGGAACACAAACAAATGAATGATAAAAGAGAAATGGCAAAAATGGCCATCTGCCAATATACATAAGAGAATGTGACAATAACTGCCATCAATACCTCACAAGACAGGGTGCCATACACAGGGCTCTCCAGCTGTATAAGGCCTGACTGCTCTCCAACATAACCAGGTTCACCATGTGTCCAGGCAAAGGCTGGTAGTGAGTCGGCAGAAGCAAAGAATCCAAGCAGAAAAACACACTGTCATCTACAACACCGCTGTTACCAAAAACACCAGTCACAGGCACCTGAAGACAGAAGGTTGGGGAAGGAGTTATTCAGTCAGTTCACAGAGATTACATCTGGCTCAAATGTAACATATGACAATAACAGCAACAAAAAATAACCTGATCTAGTCGACAATATCGTAGAGGTGCAACAGAATGAGCCCGGGTTGTCCAATCTGTTGGATTGACGAAATATTTTGCGTGAACCCAGTCTCCTTTCATTGGTGCGTAACCTACAGAAGGAACACAGCGAATGCTGATAACGTTCGTCTAACATTCGTCTAAGCTATAATAAAGGTTAATGACACAACTGACAAAATGCCATCTGGTTAACCTAAAAATTAAGCCTGAAGCATTACCTTCTGAACGAGTGTAGCGTGAGAAGTACGTGAGAAGTATGTAGTCTGGTTTATGTAGCCACCAGCTCCATCATAAGATGTGACTGTGCCAATGAGAGGCTGCAACCGCAAAGTGTCAGCTTCTAGGGAGGCTTTGCCCTCATCCTCCCAGGCATCTGCACTCTTCTCCACCTTAACGACAGGATTAGAAGTTGACTCGCTGATTGTAAATTGTATTCCAGCTCTTATCTTAGGCTTTATATCCATGTTATCTGTGAAAAACTCAGACATCAAAAGACAGTTTTGACATAATATATCACAACAGGCAAAGATGACAGAAATATCACACAACATAAATACTACATGTCAGTTCAGATTATGACCTTATCTGTCGGTTTTATGGTGAGTGATAAACATACCCATGTTGGAACAATCTCTTTTTTCTTCCTTACCCTTACCAAAAACACTGTACTAAGCCCACAGTAGTTAGTCAAGAGGACAAATGAATATAAACTGTTTTAGTTGACATTATAACACAAAAACAAAACAATATATTAGAGTTTCTTAGTGCTTATGTTTTGATTTTACTGTTTAGTCACCCTCAGAGCTCTCCATCCTCCTTCAGCACGATCTCTGACTGCTGTGGCGTTCACAATGTCTCCTTCTTTCAGCAGAAACCCGCCTAGCACCTGTTCATTGGTGAAGTAGACCGCGTCGTCTATCATGCCATAGTCATGGCAGAGCTGGGTCACCACGCTGCCCCGCAGGTGGCGAATATCCTCCGTACCTGATCAGCAAAGCCCATGAGCAAACGTCACGATAAATCGTCAAATGCGTTTAATTTGTATGTATTACAAAGGTTTCGGCAGTCAACTTAAGTGGCGATATTTACCATGTTCACAGGAGAAAAATCTGTCTTCATCCACCTCATCTACAGTCCTCCAGAGTGGAGACACGAGCTTGGAGAGCAGGTGGCGCAGAACAGTTAGCATTTCTGTAACGTGGCAAAGTTGACAAAACAATTTTTTTTAACAACAACAAACAAAATGAGACTCAATTCAGCAACAACTTACAAATAAATAAACCACAGCAAACTAAAACAAACAATAAATCCCTTCAGTTCTCAGGTGCTTTGCTTAGTTGAGCTAAATTGCGCATTAGCTACGTCATTGAAAGCATTGTGCATATTTTAATTAAATAAAATACAATAACGTTTACACTGACAAGAGAAATTACATGTTATATAAATTATACCGTTGTTAATAAAGGAGGAAAATATTTCAAAACTTCACAAGGGGCAGATTCTCTCGGTACGTGCGCGGGTTCCCGTGACAATGGTCTATGACGAGAACACCGGTGTCGACAGAAATGTGGTGAACCTGTCCAAGGTGCATCCAATATCCCATAATTCATTACGTTCTCGTATGGTACGAAATAAAAATAATAATTAAATGAAAATAAATGTTTACCTGTTAATAAATAGTTTTAAATATGGGTTCTGACGTTACTTTTTCTTACGTCGTGATTGTAGTCTCTTTACCGTTTGTATTCATTTTTGTGCCGACGACATTGTTGTAGTTTCATGTGTCCACGTAATATCCAGGAATTCCCGTACAAACAAATAAATAAATGCTCTTTAATATTCTCCATGCGATTCTCTTGCAAGTATGTTGCATGTCCTTTCTAGTGTAACTGTTCACAAATTGAACAAGAAAGCTCCAGTAGGTGGCAGTAACGATGTTGGTCAGATCAATGTAAAAAAAAGTGTGAAATGAGTCATTCCAAATCTTTTGCTCTTTAAAATTAAAAAAACATTTTCTCCAATACGTCAATTTCTTAGTTCCACTTTGTAACATTTAATATTGAAGGATAAACATAAAAAGTAATGAGTAATGAGACATATTTAAAACATGATAAAACTCGTTTTTACAACCGTGTCTGGCTAAGAACACTTTTTATGAATTTGGTTGAAAATTGTTTGCCTTTGTATTTATGTGTTTTATCTCTTCCAGGAACCAAACACGTTTGTTGTAGAAACGTATTGTAGTGACACGCTTCATTCAAAACTTCTACCACTAGAGAGCAGTGTTTACCTTTAACTGTTCACCACACAACCACATCTTTATTTACACAGTGCAAACGAGGCCAAGGAAGAAATCACATAATAAACTAATCTCAGTGTTTGCATTGTTATATTTGGACACTGTTTGATGGCGCATATGCAACAAATACCCAAATGTCAACCAGGCTTTTAGAGGACAATTTGGAAAACTGATTCCCCGTTTGATCAGATTGTGCTTTAAGAAATACGTCCTTTCTGTCATTAGTATGAAGCAAACCTAACCTAAACATAAAATAGATCTATAAGTTAATGACATCATTCAGTATTACATTTATAATACCTGTAACACTGTTTTGTGTTTATCCAACACATTTTGTTTATGGCCAGACAGAAACACAAACACAGAAACACACAACTGTATATTGTAATACACTTAAACTTGTCTAAGTGTAAACAAAAAGTTATCATATGCCTGATTCAAGTATTTCAGCACTGTACCCAGCCGTATGCAATAAAAATTAATATGACTGACTAAGCACAAAATAAAAATCTGTTTTTCATCAATATATTAGAATAACTCAACAACACAATACTTACTGAAGTAACATACCTAAAATACCTCCCATAGTTAAAAAATGCATACTTGGCAGGACACAGTACTGGTGTTTCACACTACTTTGACTTCTTCTTACTAGATACTGACACGACTGCAGACAAATATTCCTAAAACCATAATAATAATAAAACAACCAGTGTGGTTTCAGACAGGAAACAGATTTTTCCAATGAAAACTGGTATGTTTTTACCCTACCTATAACAAAGTGATCAATGTTTGAATCCAATATTAACTGGACCAGCTTGAGAAAGGCATCATTCGTTTGTTATTTCAAAAATGTAAACAACTCCATTTATACGTAAATGAAAAATACATTAAATCAGAATGAGATGAGAACGCTTTTGTTGTTGTTATATTCCTCCTGAACAGCAGGGGGTGTATTGTGTTTTCAATTTAAGGCCTTGCCAGCAGTCACAGGTGGAGTTGATGAGCGAAAAGCAAATAGGTTTTGACTATTCCGCCACAATATTTATCTATCTTTATTTATATCGTTTGTAACCTTTTTGGGGAATTTACTGGAAATGACACAATGTTTATCGTTCCATACTACATTGTTTGCAACTCGAGGAAACTCGAGTTTGAAAATATAGACAGCAAAGAATGGGCATTAAGGGAAAGTAATGCATTATATTTCTGCACATTTGTGTCTGTGTTTACACCAACAAACATATTTCTGAAGAGTTAAGGGCTCAATACCACTGATTCTCCTACATCACAGATTGGGTTGCATTTGGAAGGTCATCTGGTGTAACAACTCCGCAAAATCAGTATGCCCTACATGGCCTTGGTGACCCCTGATGAAGGAACAAGGCCAAAAGTTATTTTTCTTCTGCTCTTTAAGTCAGTAGAGTCAGGTTACAGGTTACTTGATTCTCAACATCAGTGCACATTAGCCCAGAAAGAAGTTTATCTGGTTTCAGTTGCGAGTTCAATCTCCTTACCAACGAAACATAATGTCTTGTTTATAAATTAGTTCTGCATTTGCAAAGACAAACGGTGAAAACAGATGATGTTGTGTGAGTGGGTTGAGTGAATAAGAGTCGGAGGATTACATTTCCAGAATGTAAATGCCTGTTTCAGTGCTACTTTGTTGTAGCTAGACTCGTTTTAGTTCATTATTAGATGAATAAATACCATTAGTAACACACATAAAACTCTTACTATACATCGCAGGGCTGTGCTGCTGTGTTTTAATACTGGTCATGCTGGTAGCACCTAAAATGCCAAACATTTTGAAAGTAAAAGAATTATCCATTTTCCCTTTGTTTGTTATATGTTGATCCACAAAACAGACATTTTATTGCACAGGAAATGCTTTGAACTGTTTGTTGAGACCATGAAAAAGGAATGTCAGAAAAATGCACAATGACATCATGAAATTGAGTTAAAGTTAACCTAATTTAAAATAAGCATACACAAACAGAGTTATTTCTGAAACCAACCAACCATTTCCTGTGCAGTTCCACCGCCTCAACCTGCATCCATTGTCTACAATGGGAGTACCTTCATCCAGTTTCTACTATTTTTGTTCATGAACTGAGCCTGACGGCAGGCACAACCCTATGCTGCACATCACACATCACTTTGCTGCTGTGGGCCTCCGACCATTTCGTATGTGCTCTCTACGGTTATTCGTTGAATTATCTTTAGCCTGTTTTAACAACGTCTCCTGAAAGAGCATTCCAGTGTTTTGTGTGTTGGGGCACACGATTCCTAGCTACACCCCTGATCTGACAGAGATGGAGAAGGAGAGAGGAGAGACGAAGGAGGAGAGGGAGGAGGAGGACGATCGCGTAAACTCCGCCTCTGTTCAGGGATCCTTTCGCATTCCTTATTCGCAGCCTCTCATGTAGAGGATAGAAATTGAGAAAAGGGGAGACACGGGGAGAGAGACAGAAAAAAAACAACAAGGAAAGAGACGAAGAGGACAGAAGAAGAAGAAGAAGGGGAGCAGAGAACGATCATGGCCATATCCAAGCGGTCTCAGGCGGAGACAGTGTCCGAGCAGAGCGCACCTCTATCCCCGGCGACCACGGCACGGAGCAGGCAGTCTATGCACAATAGACAGAGTCCAGACGAATGAGGGTCTACACCTGGGCCAAGGACAAAATGAGGGTCATTTTTATCCAAAACGCCGGTTTCGTAGCAGCTTTTTCGCCTCGTAGATGTGAGTCGGTGACGTTAGCAGCGTTTAGGGTGACAAATACTGCAGAGGAGCCAGAATTAAATACAAACAAATCATGCCAGTCAGCGGAGTGAGATCACGCCCGTTTATATAGTCATTAATATTTTTGTCTTATTATTGGAATAGATAGTGCAGTAATATAATTTTTTTTTAAACCGAAAGCGTGCTCAGTTTCCGGCATGCAGCCTGCTGCCGTAATCTGAATACATATTTTTTTCCTACAATGTTGGCACAATAGAGTTAGTTTGTATCCGATAATACTAGACTATGTATCTCCTTATAATAGACCGATGATATACTGTTAGGCTTCCTGTGCTTAATCCGTTAGTACATTGATTATATTAACATGAATAGGTAGGAGGAGAATCTCTGTTCGCCTTTGATCAAAGCCTATTGATCAGCCAAGACAATCTGGAAATGTTACGTTTCCACATGTTATAATATGACTAGCAGGCAACGCGTTATTTCTCGTAATTTATTTATTTATTATTAGGCCTATAAGTATTATATCATCAATTGTTTTAGTTAGTAGGTAGTTTATAAGATATTTAACAGCGGGACAGTTTGTTTAAAGAAACGATCCCTTTTTTGTGTGATGGAAACCCTTTATTTATCGCCCAACCGGGGGCCAAACCGGTCCGAAGCCCAGAGGGGGCAAACCTCGGCGGGTGTAGACCTCTCCCGTCCTGCTCCGGTTCTAACACCACCGCTACCTGCCGACATCTCCGCCGAGGAGTTGCCGGCCAGCAGCGACGGACGACGCAACTCTGGCGTGAAGAAGCACCACCACAAGCACAACCTGAAACACCGCTACGAGCTGCTGGAGACGCTGGGACGAGGCACCTACGGCAAGGTCAAGAAGGCCATCGAGAGGAACTCCGGCAGAGTGGTGAGCTATGAATGGATGGATAGAAGTACTGATAGACACTAATGCAGTGTCTGCAGTAATGCAGTAAAGAAAATAAATTACAAGTTTTGCATGTTGCATGAAAAAAAGAACAGCGGTTGTTCAACACAGTCACCAAGGAACACAGTTAACACACACAAGACACATTAACTCTGGTTTAGTTGTGCTACGAGAGTATAAACATAGATCTAATATAATAACTGGACTCAGAAGAAATAAAAAAAAAAAACAATAATCTACACCTGCATTAGAATAAGCATCACATCCAGATATCCTCCATTGACTATTTATGAGTGACTGACAGCTCGGTCGCCTAATCGGTGCATGTGGCACTGGCGGTGATGTTTATAAACACAGTTTATCAGCCAGACCTTTAATCAGTAATCCAGTTGTCAGTCACATGTGGTGTCTCTTCCTAATTACTGTCTCGGTTTTTTTCTATCCTGTATTTTTCGCTTGTGTCCCGTCAGAACATATATTTTTCTATATATTCTAGGAGTGATGACCAAGAAATCACGGGTGAGACCATATGATTGACGAGAAATGTTTCATGACATTAGTCATTGAGGGCAAAACGGCACCTCTCTCAGCCAGGACAACACTCTTGGTGTTAGTCCTTTTCTGCAACTACAGCCTGCAGTGGACTTGGGGCTGTCCATTTGTCATATACAGTCTCTTGGTATATGGCCACATACAGTGTTGATGCTCTTTTTTGATACATGGTTCTCACATACAATTCTGGCAGGACTGGCATCATTAATGTAGTGGCTGAATAGCCCTCTAAAGCTATGACGGTGGCATTTTACTTTTGATTAATGCTAATTACTGATATGACCCACCAGATGAATTAAGATGAGTCACTGAGAGAGGTGTGTGCATTCATTTTAGATGTAATTTATTCTTGATTAGCTCTGTCTACAGTACCTATGAACACAACTCTGTTGTGCTGGTTTCTTGTGGCTAATATTTAAAAAGAGTACAGTTGGTGGTTGGTTAATGTACTTTCCACTTGTATAAACAACTGTGATTTAAAATGTGTTCTTAAAAGACAGTATGGAACCTGATATTTCAATGACTTACCAAGAATGACAGTAAAGCTGTCATTTAGATACGGAGGGCTTTGTAAATGAAAAGCACACATTTTTCTTCTCCTGGAGTTTGAAGTGTTGGCCAAGCTGCTCTCTCAGAAAGAGCTCAGACAGCTCACATAATGTTTGCAAACATCTGTGCGGATTCTTTCAGTGTATGCATCATTTTTCCACCGACCCACAGCGGCCACTATGACCAACAGTGGGCCTGAAGGAAGCTCTGTGTTTCTCACAAAGGCGTGTGCACGTCCTTCCCCAGCTGGGAATTCCCCCATGCTCAAAAAGGCTCATGGGAGCAGGGAGCTGTGGCTGCACATGCCTGTTTCTACTGCTTCTAAGCAGAGCCACACGACCGGATGCTAGAGTGCAAATCCGGCTACTGACTGACTGATGCCACTTGAGTGACCCCCAGTGATTCTCATGAATCCCAGTCAGCAGACTCCTCCAGAGACACTAAAACACACTCATGTTTTCCATGCAGCCTTCTAGAGCGTGCCCTTTCAGTTTTGTTTTTATTATTGGGTTTTGGATTGTGTGCGTGTGTGTATCTTTATGTGGGGGATGTTTGTGTGGATGTATTAGTCAGCCCACCACGTTTGTTTATGTGTATTTAAAAATGAAAGTGGCTTACTTCAACACAGTAAAAACCCACCATCTGTTGTTATGTTCTAAGTATTCCTTCCAAAACATTTTCACGTGTGTCAGGACCTGACCCATGTGGACAACCTGGCAGGACATAAAGAATTTTCCATCTGCAGAAACTGTCAGGGGGAACTTATTATAGGTCACCCATGTCCCTGTGGGTTTCATAGCTCCTGGTAAATACGCTCTTCATAAGGTGACTGTAAAGCCTTCTGTAATTCTCTACACTCTAATGTCACTCTTTGCACATTTGTACTTTCTTCTGTGTGTTTATCTTCTCGTTATTCCCATGGCAGCAACTCTAATCTCTCCTATTTACTTTCACCGGTGCTATAACTTTGCACACACTGTGCTAAGTGCTCAACAGGTCAAAGTGTCCTGCTTTGAGATGACGGACTGTTTCTGTGAGATATCTCTGGTCTGCTAGAACGTCTGGCAGCAGAAGCTTCAATGAAACATTCTTTAAAACAGAGTAAGAATCTATGAAACCATTACCAAAATTGCCCAGCTCATTTCCAAGACTACCCAATTTACTACTAATGTCAAAGAGGGAACATCGTTTTAGGCCAGCATGTTCCAGTTTCTTAATCACTAAGCCCATTCAGATTAAATATCACAGCACAGCAAATGACTAAATAAAAACACACTTTGTGTTGTAGGAAGCCCTTTGTTCACCAGGATTCATGAAACACTTTTTGGCAGCGTCCTTGCAGCATCTGACCACATGAAGCGAGCCAACAGCCCTCGAGTCCAGAGTTTTCTTGACCCCTGACCCAAAGGAAACCTCTAGTGTCCACACATTAGATACAGCAGTGTGATGTGACGACGCTGTAACACTATCACCCTCACTCCCTCTTTTTGGCTCGACGCAGAGACCAAATGAGAAGCACAGAGATAGCGCTGCACAGAAAGAGACCGAGGATGTTTTTCTTTGTGTGTGTGTATCACACATGTACATTACACTTACTGCAATCGGGGAAGATTCATTAGGTGTGGGCACATTCCAAGTGTCACTGAAAGTGGGACTGAGTGAGTGTCTGCTTTAATCTGTGAAGCCATGTGTCGTTCTACTTGGCAGACATCTGGAAACCCAACATTATTTGAGGTGCAGTTTGTCACAGAGATCACAGTAGGGTGGAAGTGACACATTCACTGCCTTATGTGTTTTGTGCGTTTCTCCAGAGGACATGTTTTGTGTTTGTATGCTTGTGAGCGGTAAATAGAAACAGACGTGTGTCTTCATTTATTATTTGCCTTCTAGATTACTATAATTAAAGGGTCATGGTGCCAACCAGGCCTGAAAT